CTATCTACCTATCTTTCTAACTATCTATCTATCTAACTAGCTATCGATCTATCTATCTATCTCTCTCTCTCTCTCTTTCATCTGTCTATCTGTCTAGCTGTCTACCTGTCTATCTGTCTATCTATCTATCTTTCGGTCTATCTATCTATCCCTATCTCTCTCTCTCTCTCTCCCTCTCTCTCTCTCTCTCGCTTTCATCTGTCTATCTGTCTGTCTGTCTGTCTGTCTGTCTGTGTGTCTGGCTGTCTGTCTGTCTGTCTGTCTGTCTGTCTATCTGTCGACCTGTCTATCTGTGGTGCAGTGTCATTCAGTGTAATGTACTGTAATGTAGTGTTGTGTAGTGGAGTGTAGTGGAATGTAGTGTAGTGTAGTGGAGTGTAGTGGAAGTTAGTGTAATGTAGCGTAGTGTACTGTACTGGATTGTAGTGTAATGTATTGTAGTGTGGTGTAGTGTAATTTAGTGTAGTGGAGTGTAGTGGAATGTAGTTGTGTAGTTGTAGTTGTAGTGTTGTGGAGTGTAGTGTAGTGTAGTGTAATGTACTGTAGTGGAGTGTAGTGTAGTGTACTGTAGTGAAGTGTAATTTGGTGTAGTGGAGTGTAGTGGAGTGTAGTTGTGTGGTTGTAGTTGTATTTGTAGTGTAGTGGAGTGTAGTGTAGTGTAATGTAGTGAAGTGTAGTGGAAGGTGGCGTAGCATAGTGTAGTGTAATGTTGTGTAGTGTAATGTAGTGTAGTGTAGTGTAGTGAAGCGTAGTGGAGTGTAGTTGTGTATTTGTAGTTGTAGTTGTAATAGTGGAGTGTAGTGTAGTGAAGTGTAGTGGATCTATCTTATCTATCTATCCTATCTATCTATCTATCTTATCTATCTATCCTATCCTATCTATCTATCTATCTTATCTATCTATCCTATCTATCTATCTATCTATCTATCTATCTCTACCTCTATCTATCTATCTATCTATCTATTTATCTATCTATCTCTCTATGTATCTATCTATCTATCTATCTATCTGTCTGTCTGTCTGTCTGTCTGTCTGTCTGTCTGTCTATCTCTCCTAGTCATTCAGTGTAATGTAGTGTGGTGTAGTGTAATATAGTGTAGTGGAGTGTCCTGGAGTGTCATGTAGTGTAATGTAGTGTACTGGCGTGTAGTGTAGCGTAATGTCCTGTAGTGTAGTGTCTTGAAGCGAAGCGAATCTGAACCTCCAAAAGTGGTCCGAACCCCTAGTGTTTTGTACATTTTGACTTGGAAATGTGCTTCGCGCCACAACGGCGTGCACTTTTCCAACATCCGAACCTCCAAAAGTGGCGCGAACATGTGGTGTTTTGTACATTTTGACTTGGAAATGTGCTTCGCGCCACAACGGCGTGCACTTTTTCAACATCCGAACCTCCAAAAGTGGCGCGAACATGGGGTGTTTGTACATTTTGACTTGGAAATGTGCTTCGCGCCACAACGGCGTGCACTTTTTCGACATCGCAACTTCCAAAAGTGGTCCGAACCCCTAGTGATTTTAAAATTTTGACTTGGAAATGTGCTTCGCGCCACAACGGCGTGCACTTTTTAGACATCTCAACTTCCAAAAGTGGTCCGAGAATGGTGTGTTTTGTACATTTTGACTTGGAAATGTGCTTCGCGCCACAACGGCGTGCACTTTTTCGACATTGCAACTTCTAAAAGTGGTCCGACGCTGAGGTGTTTGTATATTTTCACTTGGAAATATGCTTCGCGCCACAACGGCGTGCACTTTTTCATCTCTCATCTGGCCAGCTCGCTCCGCACCCGCCGCTTTAGCGAGCCTACTTTTCGACCCTCAGGAGCCACAAATCATTGGAAAAACACAGTGTTTCGCGACTTTCCTACCTTTTCGCGCATCTGCATCTTCTTTCTTCTGACTCTTTCTCTTCTGATCTTCTTTCTTCTAATCTTTCTCTTCTCTCTGCCTCTGCCCTGCTCTGCTTTTCATCTGTCCATATTGTCGGAAGTTTGACTTCTAAACTTCCTTCGATAATATGCATATATATATATATATATGTGTGTGTGTGTGTGGGAGCATGCCCTGTTATCATGCAAGGTGGCAAGAACCCTTGATATTATCTGGGGTGGAAAACGATAGCTGGTGATTAAGACCGATCCCAAGAAACATGAGCGAAATCAAATCTCGAATTCGCTAATGGAGAATCAAAACTAAAGGCCACGAGCCTCGTTAGTTCAATATAAGCAACCTCTAGCGTTCCCATCTTTCCGGCTAGATTTTAGTAGTTCAACAACTGGACATGAGATGCAAATGGGATGGTTACCCCAAAATCCAAACTGTTTACCCAGATTCTATCCCCACTATCCCGCATTGTTATCATTGTTGATATTGTTGATTGCTAAATCCCATTGAACCCCATTTAAATCCCCTGAAATCCAATGAAAAATATGAACATCTCCTTAGCCCACAAATTCTTACCGGACTCGAACTGACTCCTCGGCTGCTTGCATCTCGTTGTCCAGAATGGCGCGCAGGGGGCTCCCAGGTTGTTGCATCGACTCTACCTCTGCATCGATACCAACCCCACAACTTTATACCGAAAATGTTTGGAAGCCTGAACAACATGGGGGAAACATCATCAACATCATCCTCGACATACTTGTTTATCTTGTTCTATCTTTATTGAGAACCCCTATATACACAAAATAGGCTACAAATAGTGCATTATACAACAAAGTCAGGCACAAAGAAGTATACCATCGGATTGGTATGTATATACATACCGTCAGAATATACATAATGCATCAGATTATATACATATATATATATAAATATTTTTAATATATATATATAATATATACATATTCATACACATATATATATATATACTATTATCATCTATTATTGTTACTATTATATACACATTACCAGCCATGAGATTCTCACTGCAACTCCGAGGTTTTTTGCCCCATGGCCTTTTTCCATCTCGTCGGGCAGGTCTCAAGGACCACGGCTCCCAACTGCTCCTCTTCCACCAATCGACCAGTGACCTGAGATCGTCGACCTATGGAGGTTTGACGTATGGTTTGACGTCAGGCGCCACCTGAGAATTTGCTGGAAAGTGAATGACTGGTGACTGAGTTAACCCATGTTAACCCATAACCCCAACTTTTCCTGCACATCACAGACACTTAGAATCACTTGGTAATGCTCGGTCTACGTGGCTGCTAGACTCTGACGGACTGTGTTCCGCGGCGATACTTCCAGAAGCCACCACCAGCCATGACTCAGAATGCAGCTGGGCCACAGATGTGGCTTTCTCTACCGATTGAGGATTGAAGTGAACTGACGCAATCAAGACCTCACCGTCGTGTGAAGCCCTTAACAGGGTCCACTGGACCATAGAACAATGCAAGCAGCACACTCACAAATTCTGCGTATCATCCTTCTTTTCCAGAAAGGAAAACATTTTCCAACAGCCCATTCCTCACTGCAATCCAATGTTCGTGCCCTTCTCATCCCACATCATTCGGCACAAAAAAAACACCACATCAACATCCCAAACCTTCGGATTATCTACACATTTCAACAAAAGAGCAAGAGTCCCAAACCTGGGGGTTGCCCAACTTTCCCATACTTTTTCAATCTTTTTCATAGCTTCCCAGGATAATTATGGAAAATTCCCATTTGGCTCATTGCCCATAGCCCCATCCCCTTTGTCGCACAGGGTGCCACTTCACGGCCACTCTGCGGTTCGACGAAGGGCAGCACCTGCTGCTCGCGGCGGGTTGTGGCACGACGGGCCACGGTACCTGGCACCATGGATGGGAATGATGAAACCACATCAACAGGGATGATAGAATGAGGATGTTTAATATGAACCAATGGATAGGAATAAGTGGGATATATATCATAATCATTTATATATCGTCCTTTTATTTCCAGACTGAGAACAAAAATCAAGTTTCATCTCCAACTGTTAACGTGGTGATCGCAAGACGCAAGTGCGACATTTCTTCCAAATGGAAGTTTCCTGAAATGGGGGTACCCCCAAAGCATCCATTTTAGATTGGGATTTTCCATGACATAAACATACATAAACCATCCAGCTATTGGAAATCTTCCATTTCATGGGAAACCCCAAATGCTGAAGCCATCACTCGTCCCAGTCGTTTTTTTGGGGCGCCTGCGGCGATGGCCACCCATGGCAGCCCTGCAACTCTGCTGCCCCGCGCTTCGCGCCGTGGCGGTTTGGCAGCAACAGCCCGTGGGGAGCCAAGGTGGAGCTGCAAGCTGGGCACAGGACGAGGCCATGGTGAAACTAGAGACATGCTGAAACAACAGGGTTTGACCTTCTTTGACAACATGGCATTGATAATGTGCAAATTGATGCAATTTATGCAATAATCTGCAATCATGGCATTAAAGCTCATTTTCAGATGTTACACAGCTCTTGCATCAATTATCATGTATTAGAGAACGCACTCGGCACCCTACCCTGTTTTATTAAGATGTTTTGTTCCAACGCACGCCGCTGCAAAACAAGTACTTGCTGGCCAGCAAAGTGTTCAGTGGAATATGGCGGAATCATCATTTGCAGCAGAGCGTTGAGCCCGACTCGGGACGTGCAATTCCGGCTGCGAGCTCTGTGACGCGATGCCCGGATGAGTTGAGTCAACCCTGGATGAATACTGACCCCTTGCTGTTGATCATAGGTGAGGTACCATCATTTGCCCTAATCAACCAGCCTTTGGCCTCATCCGGGATTGACATTACAGATTTTTGTTTGATCGAAACCATATCACTCTCCATTTTTTTCGCGAACATCCAGAGGAAACCATCGTTTTTTTACTTTTACCATGTTTTGGCTATGAGTCAAAACCCTGGCACCCTTTTTGTCCCCTCAAAATAGATGGCGAATGGATGTTTACTCCCCAAAATATCGTAATTCATATGTAAAAATATAGGTTTTGACCCATCCCCATTTCCCTGAAAGCATTGCTGGAGCCACGGCTTCACCACGCCTTGTTGGTGCCAGATTTGGCATATCCACCAGCACACAGCTGGCAGTTCCCTGGCGAAAAAAACGAATCTTCACTATTTGTCATGGCATTTTCTCCATAGGGGGGTTACTATGTTCGATCAAATTTTCAATGGCATTTTCCATGGGGAAATCCTATGTTTATCTGTTGGTGGTTTCAACCCCTCTGAAAAATATGAAAGTCAGTTGGGATGTTTATCTATTTTCTATCCTTCCGGAGAGGGCTTTTTGTTGGCCCTGCCGGCTGTATTCATTTCCAGGCCTGGACTCTCAGAGCCACAGGAACTCAGATAACGCCCACCGCTGCAGGTGGTGCACTCTTCGCAGGTCTGGATCCTGGTGCTTTTCCCGTGGCTGCGCAACTGGTGTCTGTTCTATGGATGTCACACACACGCAAATACTTATGTGTATATACATATATATATATATGTTTTTGTGTCTATCTATCTATCTATCTGTCTGTCTGTCTATCTATCTATCTATTTATCTATCTATCTATCTATTTATCTATCTGTCTATTTATCTGTCTGTCTGTCTGTCTATCTATCTATTTATCTATCTATCTATTTATCTATCTGTCTATCTATCTGTCTGTCTGTCTGTCTATCTATCTATTTATCTATCTATCTGTCTGTCTGTCTATCTAGCTATCTATCTATCTATTTATCTATCTGTCTATCTATCTATCTATCTATTTATTTATCTATCTACCTACCTATCTGTCTATCTATCTATCTTCTATTTATCTATCTATCTATCTATTTATCTATCTATCTACCTACCTATCTGTCTATCTATCTATCTATTTATCTATCTATCTATCTATTTATCTATCTATCTATCTATATATTTATCTATCTATCTATCTATCTATGTATCTATCTATCCATCTATCTATCTATCTATTTATCTATCTATCTATCTATCTATCTTTATGTCTATCTATCTATCTATCTATCTGTCTGTCTATCTATCTATCTGTCTGTCTGTCTGTCTATCTATCTATCCATCTATCTATCTATCTGCATAACTGCGTGTGTGTGTGTGATTATGTATATATATATACGTATAGATACAAAATAAACATCATCACATATATGAAGAAACACATGTTCCAAAAGAACATATTCCTCCATTATGATGGCAACCTGCAGTGGCTCACCACGCTGGACCGCAGGTGGCTTAGCTCTACTGTACCTATCTGTCTATGCGTGAACCTGGCGACCACCACAAACTTTAAACTTGCAAATCCCTGGGCGTCTGGCAGAAACCCAAACAAAACGCGACTCAATGGATTCAATGGATTAGTTCCTGCACATTTCAAGGCCAAGCAGCCGGTTGTCGAAAAAGATTCCCGTGAACCAATCGTCACAGTCGCGCTCTGAAATCCTGCGTTTTCTGCTGGCGGCTGTTGAAATTGCCATCGCATGCCCGTGGCTGAGACACCCAGAAATCGCATGAAGAATGAAAGAATGTGAGCGACACAAACTACAGTATATACCGTATTTATATATATATGTGTATATATATATGTGTGTGTGTGATGTGTGTATGTGTGTGTATGTAATTATATACATATATAATATACATACAGAATATAATATACAGAATGTGTTTCAAGTTCGGTGAAGTTGCATATTGCACTACCCCTGCGGGCATTTTTCGGTGGTGCGGAAGGTGATCTTTGTTTCCGAGGCCCCCGGCCAGTAGTAACCGGATGGACAGCAGTTGTCTCGACTGCAGCCTCAACGGCATGATGGAACCGCCGGATCCAAAAAACTAGACGACGGATGGCCCGAGAGCGTAGAGGAGCAGGGTCTTCTCTTGTTAGTATGGAGACGCAATTTTAGAAACGATATATGAAAGATGTGTTATAGGCAGTCGAGAAGAGGAGTATCAAGACCAAATAGTGAGAAGTGCAAGACAATAGTTTGCATCGCAAACACTTTTACACACAGACACTTTTACACACAAAAGCTTTTACACACAGAAGCTTTTACACACAGTAGCTTTTACACAGACGCTTTTACACACAAAGCTTTTACCCACAGAAGCTTTTACATACACAAGGTTTTACACACAACACTTTTACACAGATGCACTTGTACACACAAACACTTTTACACACAAACATCTTTACACAGAAACGCTCGTACACATAAACCTCTTTGCGTGCGAAAAAGTTACTCCGGCACACGAAAAATCGCAATTTTACCTCAGTTTTTGCCGATCGACCCTCATTTCGTGCGAAAGGGTTGCTTTAGCACAAGTAAAATCGCAATTTTTCCTCAGTTTTTGCCGATCGACCCTCATTTCGTGCGAAAGGGTTGCTCCGGCACAGGAAAAATCGCAATTTTACCTCAGTTTTTGACGATCGACCCTCATTTCGTGCGAAAGGGTTGCTCCGGCACAGGTAAAATCGCAATTTTACCTCAGTTTTTGACGATCGACCCTCATTTCGTGCGAAAGGGTTGCTCCGGCACACGAAAAATCGCAATTTTACCTCAGTTTTTGCCGATCGACCCTCATTGCGTGCGAAAAAGTTACTCCGGCACACGAAAAATCGCAATTTTACCTAAGTTTTTGCCGATCGACCCTCATTTCGTGCGAAAGGGTTGCTTTAGCACAAGTAAAATCGCAATTTTTCCTCAGTTTTTGACGATCGACCCTCATTTCGTGCGAAAGGGTTGACGTTTCGTGACTCACCGCCGGCACCACCCTCGGCCTAAAGAGAGAAAGATAAAGAAGGTGAGAGAGAGAAAAGGGAGAGAGAAAGGAGAGAAGATGTGAAGATGAGAAGATGTGAAGAGGAGCAGATGTGAAGATGAGCAGATGTGAAGATGAGAGAGAGAAGGTGTGAAGATGAGAGAGAGAAGGTGTGAAGATGAGAAGGTGTGAAGATGAGATGTGAAGAAGAGCAGATGTGAAGATGAGCAGATGCGAAGATGAGCAGATGTGAAGATGAGCAGATGTGAAGATGAGAAGGTGTGAAGATGAGAAGGTGTGAAGATGAGAAGGTGTGAAGACGAGAAGGTGTGAAGATGAGATGTGAAGAAGAGCAGATGTGAAGATGAGCAGATGTGAAGATGAGCAGATGTGAAGATGAGCAGATGTGAAGATGAGAAGGTGTGAAGATGAGAAGGTGTGAAGATGAGATGTGAAGAAGATCAGATGTGAAGATGAGAAGGTGTGAAGATGAGAAGGTGTAAGATGAGAAGATGTGAAGATGAGAAGGTGTGAAGATGAGCAGATGTGAAGATGAGAAGGTGTGAGAGAAGGTGTGAAGATGAGAAGATGAGATACAGACCCCCACTATTGGAAGAACCCTGCGCTCAGACGCTCTCGGGAAAAATATGGTGGATTTAGGGGCTGAAACGTGATGAAACATGATGAAACATGGATGAAACCACATATTTGATCATATTTGGATTTGGATGGATTTGGGACCATAGGATGGAGGTGTTTAATCTAGTTAAATATGAAAGGGGGATGGGATTAACACTCTCACATGGTTTTTTTCCCAAAACTTCTTGCAAGCCAGGAACCGCTGGTTTCGCAGGCTGATTCCCATGTGGCAGCATGCGCCAGGCCGTATAGCAAAGCGATGGCCTGTGGAACCAACTCAGGGATCATGCATGGGATGGGGACCTAAGCGACAAACATAGGGGGAGATTTGGATAGATTTGGCATGTCTGAGCTTTTGAAGTGAATCTTTAGGATTTTTCAAATTTTCAAGCGCTGGAATAAGTTGGAAATCCCAGGATGGACAGCTGCGGTTGCCATCCCCACGTTTGCGACTTGCATTTCAGCACTTGCTTCGCCACAAAAAGCCAACTACTGGCTCAATTCCATTCATATTAAACACCCCCCATAAACATCCATAAACCGTGGTTTAGTAGGGGATTTACACGTAGTTAGGGCAATTTATGGTGTGTATAATATTGAGGGGATGGGATTACCGGGATTACTCTCAGGATCTCTCCAATCTCTTCCAGTTTGACGGCCTGAACAGCACATGTCACGAGCCGCGCCATGGGACAATGGTCGTATTATGATCCATGCACTTAGAAGGCAGTGAGCCTGTAAGGGGAACCGCCCAGAATAATCCAGAATACGCCTACACATGCCTACACCAACAATGGCCTTTCTTGGGTTCCTTTTTCAACTTTGCATACAGTTCGGTGTGTCGTGCATGGCATCCTCGGGTTCCCTATGGTTGGATAAGACATCCCCAGTTTTGCTGATGAAATCTGCCCATTTCAGTTGGTGAAATTCTCAGTTTTCAGCCCTAGCAGACCTAGCAGTTGTGTTTGAGCAAAGAGTCGGCCAGAATCCAGTGACGCAGCAGCTAACACAGCTCTTCAACTTGGAAGAGTCGCAAAACTGGGCAGAAAACACATGTGGATTCATGCGTCACTGATAGGATATCTTTCTTTCTTTGCATTTCTTATCCTCAAAATGCGCCCAACAAAAACGGATAAAAACCCTAAACCATGTTAAACCCCGTAACAACCATCACCAACCATCTTCCCAAGTGGATGTGCAGGGCTCCAAGTCTATCCGTCCTCAAATGGCCCCGGGGGGCCACCTGTTGCCTTTCATGAGCCGACACCTGGTCACGGGACTGCTGTTAAGTGGATCAGAACATGTCATAAGAGTCATTACATGACTAAGATGTCTATATGATCATATATGACATATATGACATGTAATGGACTTTACCTAATCTTATATAATCTTAATGTATTTTAATAAACCTTGACCACCACATGCTATCTTGAACAGCATTTCGAATATTTCGAACACGCTGCATATGATTATCTCCCCCCTTGTCATGCTTCAAACAAACCGTTGGATCGTTTTGCAGTGCAAACTAGGTCTTATAACTGCCCATCGGGCAAGACCATAGAGCGTTGTTGCCTGTCAGCGTTCAACCGAAGTGCAAGGTGCTGATAATTCTCTAAAGCAATGTCAAGTCCACTAGTCTTCAAGCGCAGCAATTCCAGCCCATCCAAACACGAAGAGATCAGAGTGATAGCACCACGCTCACAAAGAAAATAAAGTTACAAAACACGCTGTGGCTTTCTCACAGTCAAATCATCGACGTAGCGGCCATCTCTCAGTCAAAATGTGCGAACGGAATAGAACACTGCTGGCACATACAGTCTTTTCACAAGCCACAGCACGGCCGTCACTGCGGAGAAGCACTGTATGAGCACTGCAGAAACCCGGGATAACCTGGATGTATGTCACCTGTTCGTCAAAAGATAGAATCACGCATCATCTGTAAGCACTCATAAACACTCTCTCCGCAGGCGACAGCAAAGCCATCATTTCGAAGAAGCGCTGCAGAAACCTGGATTGTTGTCACCCCTTCGTCCAGAGACGAAAACTCACATCCTCCGTGTGTGAGATTCCATCTCTTGACAAAGGGTTGATAACAATCCAGGTTTTTGCAGGTAGTGCTCGTACAGTGCTACAGTGCTTCCTCTCTCGGCAGCAAGGCCTAGCAACAACTTGTAGTGGCAAGCTAAACCTTCACTCACTGGACAAGGCCAGGGTGACCAAGAGTATTTCAGAAGACAGCAGCAATAACCACCAAACATATAAACATATATGAAAGTTCTTGCACATAAATAGAAAATCATCAGCGGCATCAGCGACAACTTTTCCAAAAATGAGAAACTACTTGAACCAAAGCAAATTCCAAAATCAAGACAAAGCAAATCCCACTAAGCTTCGTCAAACCCTTTCGACAAACTTCGTCTAAGCAGTATGCCTTCGTCAAAGGCCTGCTAGGGTACTCCCCATCAGGGAACTCCCTGGGATTTGCCCAAAATGACCACATCCCATTTGGCTTCTACTTGCCTGTCTATTGGTCTGTCACAACGGAAAAAATGGAAAAAACATCTTAACCTTCAACATGGTTGGAATTGTTTTCATCCTTCTGAAAAAGAAAGGTACAAGTATCAGAAAAGGCAGTGGCACCAGCAGGCCGGGAGTGACGATTCTTATCCATTGCCAGGTATGTTTGAGAGAGGGAACATCATCAATAATATCCAATTAATAATATATATGTTGTTTATTTCTATCCCTTACTTATTGGTTAAATCCCCATTATAATCACTACTTGGCCGTTCACAGGAATCATAAGTGACTTGTAACCTCGGTCATAAGTAGTGGTAGTAGGTGCAATGTTCTGTAATAACTGGGCTTCAAACTAACTGGGTGAACCACATAAGTGGGTGAACCACAAAGTTTACTTGGGGCAATCATCGGATTTAATATCCCACTATAGAACTCTAGTATTAATCAGTACTTATTGTAATTATATAGAATAAATTGTCCATAGCAAAATCACACATCATAGTTACTTATAATCATAGATCTCCCATTAACCCATTTAGTAAATATAAAATCCCACTATATATATAATCTATATCATCGCATTAAATCCCCAAAACAAAGATCTAAATTTCATCCTATCAAATATTTACATATATATATATATATGTATATATATATGTATATATATATGTATATATATATATATATTATTTTAATATCCCGTTAAAATCTGGGTAAATTATCCAAGTTAACCATCATTCCAGTGAGGTCGCAATGTCGTCCCCGGGTCCCGTGATCCCCCCAGATTTTTCGCCGGAATTCGACGGCACCGTGTCTTGCCGCTTCCGGGCCAACTTCTGAAGCTTGGTCTTGGCCTGCGACAGGGGCTGCAAGCAGAATCAGAGTATGTATACACATAGCAGCAGTATTTGATTATAGTTAAATTAGTCTCTCTCTCTGTCTCTCTCTCTCTCTCTCTTTTCTTTCCCGTCTCTTTCGAGAGATGCATTTGTTCATCCTTTTATTTAGCAAATTTCTTTACAGTAACTTTCATCGTGTGTGTGTGTGTGTCTTTGTGTCGTACTTGGCATAGAGCTACGGCTACATCATCGGGAGGATGGATTCAAAAGGAAGAACCACTTGAAAGCATAGGTATATCAAATCATACTAATATATGTGTAGAGACATCATTGATCAAACTACCCTCTGGAAACTTCACGTAGCTACAGAAAACAACCATGTCTCATACCAAAAAATAATAATAATAATAACATGTTATATATATATATATGTGTGTGTGTAAATCATCATTTTTACCATCTGTCCAAAAATGGCTCAATCTTTCCATATCTTTCCATAGCTAAGTAATTAACATCCATTTCCCTCTACGAAGTGATGGGCGTTTCACCATCGTTTCGAGACGGGTGGTCACCGCCTGGTCCAAGTCTCTCTGCAACTCCGCTTCTTGGGCAGCCGCCTAGCGACAGCCAGGTCAGCTGTTTTTTTCTTTACAGCAATCGTGTTTAGATATAATTAGTATATATTAGTATGTTACGTCACGTATAATATATATATATATATGTATGTATGTGAATTATATTCTATATGTTCGTACTAACCATGTCATAATATCTGTGTTTAATTCAGACACTATATCAGAACTGCGCTGTTGGCTCCGGTTGTTTTGTTTATTATTCAATGTTATTAGTATCTAAGTACCACCAAGAGTGCACGTTGTCAAACGCACAGTCACGGAGAACAAGTCTTCGAATGACTTCAGAATCCCAAACTTACGTCCCAAGCCACACAAAAAAAGCCAGCTTCAATAAGAGCCTTTTTTGGTGGTTTTATTGACCCCAAACATACCAAAAACCTATTTTTGTGGATTGTCTTTATTGAAAATGACCCCCAAAACTAGGCTGGTGTTTCTCCAGCCTATGCTAAGGACTTCCAGACTATTCCTACGTATATATATATATATCTATCTATCTATCCATCTATCTATCTATCTCTCTCTCTCTCTCTTTTCCATGGCTTTCGCAGGGAGCCAGCCGTTGCTGGGAGAACCTCGACTTCCAGAAGTTTCAACTGGCTCTGTCGCTCGATCCTACGGCTGAAATCCCTTGGCGGAGTCATGGCCCATTGGGTGGTGCGGTCACCAACAGCTACACTGGATTTCCTCAGGTTTACATAGGTTTACCAACAAACATTAGGGACTTGCTTTGGGCTTTGGGTCGGAATATATGAGCCACGGTCGAAATCTATTGTTTCGGTCAAGTGCGTCATCAAATTGGTGAGCCCCCTATCGTTTTACAGGGTGTCCTCAAAGTGGCTGGTTTGATACACAAAAACACGGATCAATTCACACCAATTCTGTAGGTCTTGACCGTCTTGGCCCTGTTGGTGCGGCTTGGTCCTGGCTCGTTCTGCTTGTGCCACCGCCTGCCCACGTGTTGGACACATAGTGTGGTCCTGCCTAGCTGGGGTCCTCCTTACCCCACTTTCACAACCCAAAAAAGAGGCAACTGGATGGTTCGACTGGTTCGACCATATTCCACAGGTTTCAACACCAAAGGCACCCCTACGCCAAACTGCAAAACCCCCGGAGAGCCGAGACGCCTTTTTGAGGTCATCGGCCAGTCTCTGTGCCTGGCCCATGGTTCTCACCAAGTTCTGGTCCCCAATGGTCCCCATCCCGCCGCAGCTCGCAGATCCTTTTTAAACCGTGTCTTTGCACAGCCGGAGCATCTTTAAGCAATACTCGAACCTAGGGCTAAAAAAGTGTGCTGATCAACCAATGACTAACATGGCAGCCCTATTTTAGCCCTATATAAAGGGCTTGGCGTCAAAAGCATTACCAATTTCATCCAGTCTTCCACATTGGCTCATTGCTGCCCAGCAGCACTGGTCGTACATCTTCTTCCTTTCCAGGATTTTGGTCCGGATGATTCTCGCGCACGAGTCCTTATACAGAATCTCAGATTCGGGAAACAGAAATAGGCAGGCAGTTCTGATTCTCTCCCTGAGTTGATACAGTAACTTAACAAGCTTGGATGAATTGGCTTGGAGCAAATGGCTTTCAATATCCCAAGGGTGCTCTTGTATCATCATGTTGTTTGGCCGATGATTGAGTGGCTCAGAGCCCAGCGGAAGAGCAGCTTTTTGCGCCCGTTGGGGTCTGCACTGTTGTCCTGGGTCTTCGCTTGGTCCACCAAATCTTCATCGCAAATAGTTGGGGGGAAGCCATCCTAATTAAACGGATGGGTTATGTCGGTAAAGCAATAACAAACCAGCCATATCTTCCATACTCTTCCATAGTCTTCCATGTTTTGCTGCTTTATACCAGCCATAAAAATGGCAAAATTGGGGATTGTTGATCCTATTGCTGTAGCGCCTGGGACGATGCTGGGACGACTCAGCAGCCAGCAGCCGAGGCACTGCTCGGACCAAGTCCTTTTGAATCTCGCGGATTCGAAGCGTCGCAGCCATGTCCCCGGAAATGTACCTGGCACAAAAGAAAAAACTGAGATGCCCTGCTGAACTCTTGGCAAACATGGGGAGCTTGGCAAAACAAGATGAGATTTCAGAAATGTGTGCACTCTTTGTGTATGTTTGTGTGATATATTATATAATTGACATAGATACTTTGTTACATACTCGCACAGTTTACACGATTGCAATCAATCGCAGTTTGGTTCGCTGGATAGAAATGAAAGTAGTTTTAATGAAAGTAGTTTTCAACATGTTCAAACATAAAGAATGGGGACTGTGCAAATATCCAAAGATGGTGGATGCTGGTCATAAGGTGCAGAATAGAGAGTATATTTCCCGACATGGAAATAAGTTGCAGGATGTCTAGGGGTTGTTGTCGTTGTCATACCCATAATTTATATATTATGTAATAATCTATATTTATTTATACTGTGCACATGATGTAAATATACTAATAAAATCTAATGAATAAATGTGTCATACACCAAATGCATCCAAACGCCAAATGTGATAATACACACATGAATTACATCTATCAACCCATCAGCAGTTTTTAGCCTCAACCGAGGTGCTCAAGCTGATCGTTGACGCTTCCAAAGTCATCGTCTTCCTGCGATGCCGACAGCAGCTGCATATAGCTCTCTCCTCTATATATATAAAAATATCTAATATACATCGATAAGTTATAGAGAGAGAGAGAGAAAGTTACAGTATATAATTAGTTGCTATCTATCTATATATATATAATTACATATATAATGTCAAGTTAGGATTAATAATCCCCGCGGTATTAATCAACCCCCTCTGCCCCCAAAAAAAATGTAATTTAAAAACAGGTGGTCCCCCCGGATTAATAAAGCGTTTGGCTAAGACATGATTAATCAACCACCAGTGCTGAAATCCCATTTTGTTTTATTTTCCAACTCTCAATTGGTTTCCTTATTCTATACTTAAGTTGAAACCTCATGAACACCAGAATCCATCACTGCTGATCATTGAAAATTTGAAAAAAAAAAAAACTATTCCCCGAATGATCGATTTCTAATTAAATTCTTTATAAAAATCAGCAGTTTCGATAGCTCCCAAAGGGTACCCCCCATGAGCCCATATGCCCCATTAACAATAATCAGAGGGTTCCCCTTATTAATCAACCCCTTCCAAGGGGGCGTTTATTTACGGGGAAAACTACGAAAGACCTTGCAAGGTACCTACCTACCTTGTGGGGGGGGGCAGTTGATTAATCCGATGTTGGCATTATATGTATATATATATAAAGCGACTCCTCCCAGAAGTCATCATCATCGTCGTGGAAGTGAACACCTCGGCTCTTTTCTTCACCGGTCGCCGGGCGTTGCTCCCAGCCGCCCTGAGCGTCCGGACCCACCACCCGAGGATCCTTGGGAAGGGAGAAGTTGCCTGAGCCACCAAGGCCGCGAGCCGTAGCTTGGAGATTTGATACCCAGAAATCAGGGGGAAAATCACCATTTTTTTGGGGGGGAATGATGGTGAAATGCTGATTTTTTTTTGGGGATCAGAAGCTGGAATTTCTGAATAGGTCACTTCAGACTTAATATGATCTCACAACATCTCACATGTCTGTCTGATTGATGTTTGTGGTGTTGAAACGCATAAATCGCATCAGTGAAACCAAATGACTCTGTTTCCATCCCTATAGCCCATCTTGAGGAAAGCAACCGACGCTGGGATCGAAGAGATATGCCGCATCCCTCAAGATGTCAGCGGCTGAGAGCAACAGCACCTCCGCCCGTTCTCGGTGTGGATACCTCACATGGCCGTGGCATGGAACATTAGCCGGTACCAACAAACAAAATACACCCCCGAAAGTAAGCATGGAAGCCAAGAATGGCCTTGTCTAGCGGGAAGATCATGTTCCAAACATCTCCAAAGCCCAGTTATTGGCGTTTATGTTAAGTTGGGCAGTTAGGGGTCTGTAAAGGTTCTAACTGTCAAGGCTGGGCTGGAACCCACGCCCAAGCCATCCGTGCTGCCATGCTGCTGGATTTGTTCATCAATTGCATCCATGGCAACCTCAGGGCTACTGACTCGCCTCCATAAAGCTGAAAGTACTGCTGCCTGCACACCGCCAAAGGTATCCCCCACGCCCAAAAAAGCCATAAAAAGCCCGTATCAATTTCATAGGTCCATAATTTAAGAAGTTCTAGAAAAGGATTTGGTTTGTGTCTGAACATAAGTCCTTTCCCAAATATATATATATATAATATAATGATATAAGAATGGCCTATTTTATTGGAGACTGCCCTCTGGTAATTCCACATAGCTATGGAAAATTGGTTATTTATAGCAAAATTAGAATAGATGATTTACATTGATTTACCATAATTTCCCTCTTAAATCCAAAAAAAAACATGGTGATTTTTTATAGCATTTCATAGCTATATCTTAAATTACCAAAGGGATCCAAAGGGATCCAAAGGGATCCAAAGGGTACCCATCATCGACACCCAGAAAACCAAGGCACATCCAGACCTCCCGCGAGGTTCTCCAAGGATTCGCCAGGGCAGGAGACCGGGATGCTACGGAGGAAGTTGAGGAGGCCTTGGAAGCCTCCGGCTGCTGATTTAGGAGGAAAATCAGGAAAATCATGGCTACATATGGCTACAAACTGGTAAAGACTCTGGTTTTGAAGGCACTTTGGTCAGTTTTAAGTCACGTTTCAAGAACAACTATCCGTTGCAAGTTGAATCTATATATCACTATCATACTCTCTCTTGTAGTGGCGATGTTGACTCGACTCGAGAACAGTGCCAAGGGGACGATCATTGACGATACGTATGCAAAAGAAGAATGGTGCGTTATCATTCCAGGGCCCCAGTTGGGCTAGTCGCAAACATACCATCAAGATTCATCAAGATCCATCAAGATTCATCAAGGTTTTTGAAATTGTGGCTGGGCCGCCATGTTTTGCATTCTGAGGAAAAAGACATGCAAAATGATAGACTATCATAGACGATCACGGTTTCCCTGCACGGCTATGCTATGAGTTTTGTATCTTGTCTCCAAACGACTTCTGCTTTCGGAGTCGCCACATCAAACCTATTTTGAGTCGGAGGTACCACCACAGTTACCCCAAATCCCCAACATACCCGGAGGAAACAAAACTCACGTGTGGATGAATTCAAGTCATGTCTGATGTGGATTTTCTGTAGTCATCCTCTATGACAAGATCGGTTTAGGCCAAGGTCGATTTAAATCATCGAAGTGTGAACATACCTCCTTCATCTCCAAGTTTCTGGATAATAAATGATCATAGTTCACCAGTTCCGCCAACCATCTCCCTTTCATCCGCCCCCTTACCCCGTGCGTGCTGAAAAGTTCGGCCAGCACGTGGGATGACTCTCCTTACATTAACCATCTTCCCAGCGACGTTGCGACCTGAGGTCGTTTGAAAAGATTCTCCAGATTTATCCACACTACTAGATACTACCAGGTTACTATCACATACTACCACTATTTTTGTTGTTAAAGTGCCCCCATTTTTGATGGTCATGAGTTCTATCCAGAAATAATCTTCGATTCTTGCTGGTTTCATCGAGTGATAGCCGCTGATAGCCCGAAGTTTCCCACCTGTTCTTGGCCAATACTCCTGGTTCGTTTCAGCCGCTCTTTCCAGCTGCTGGATGGCCAAGCTGCAACGCGCATCCAGTAGAGCAGCACCTGCATCCTGGCCATGGATCATCATCGATCCAATATCCCCTCGTGTACTTTCACAGTTTGCCAGTGAACCTATGGAACATCATCATTTTCAAAACCTGCAAACCATTGAATTCGCTATATATATATATATATGGGCCATGGCTTCCAGTTCGCAAAGGTGTATCAGAATTATGTTGCATCCACATGATTGTCCCTATGGCTCATGGTAAAATCAAATTTATGGTTGGGCATATAGGTATAATATATATATATACATACAAATCCCATAAAACTGTTATACAGTTCACTGGAGGGTACCAAAACCAATAAGGGCATATAAGGGCAGCCCCCAGGGGGCCCACACGGGACCCGGATAGGCCCGGCCCACCTGCAGGGACATGCCGCCCAGCTGTAGGATGGTTGGAAGATGGGACCTGCGACCCAGAGACATGGTTGGGTAAGATGCAGTATCCAATAAGAATGGGACCTACATGTAGGGGATAAGAATCTGAACCATCTACATCCAAGAATTGCGTCCCAAGAATATCCGTCCCAAGAATCTGAAGCAAAACCAGGTGTGGAAGATGATCTGCAAACTACAAACTGAGGATAAAACATCACAAAGTGCCAAATGTCATATCCATCTTACTTCACCTAAGACTTGAATACCCTTCACTTCCATTTTTTTCTATACCATACTATCCCAGTATACCACCTGTTTTTGCCCCATGATACCACCATGTTTGTTAGCTAAATCCATCTTTGATGGCCATATCCCCATGTGGAGGTTTCCTAAAGTGGGGGTACCCCCAAGTCATCAATATTCTATAGGATTTTCCATGGCATAAGCCATCCATTTTGGGGGTACCCCGTTGTGGAAACCTCATGTGTTCAACCCCTTGGATCAACGCCGCGCTACGTGGTCCAAGCCGTTGCTGTGCTCCCGCTGCTTGCGCTGCTTGCGCTGCCCACTGCGGTGATCTCGCCACGGAGCAAGCTGCTGGAGGCCAGGGACATGTCGCGACCGGCGCGCCACAGCTCACAGCCTCAGTTGGTTTCCAACAAGTCATGGGGCTACCCCCAAATCATCCAGTTGTCATTAGTGATCCGTAGACCATTGTCGTATTGAAAACGATGATTTTGGGGATCCATTTCTTGAAACTATCAGTTTTTTTTCGAAGGGCTGACAGGTTTCAATGTGTTTCAACAGGACATGTTTCAACCCAACCAATCTAATTGAAAATCTGATTGAAAAAGCGCTAAAATATTGATTGCATGTATGAATTCGCGGATGTTTAATTACACTTCAACCGATAAACAAATTGGGGAACTGCACTCGAAAAAAGCGGGGATTCAACCTGCAAAATGGAGGAATTTGCCGTTCTGTTGCTGGCAGAAATACCCCCTTGGAGCATCGGACTCAAGGTGGATGGTCATAGAGGTTCTGACGCAAACCAAGAAACCAACATGGAAGGCCCAAAATTTCCGGTTCCAATATTTGTATATATTTGTTACGTTTTGCCCAATTAAACAATCATCTTCTCCAAATCCATTTTGGGACATGGGGTTCCATGTCAATCTTGAGGTAGATCCAACCCTGGGCTGCTTCACGGCAGGCAGCCGAGGGCCCACATCCTTCGCTCCTCTGGTGATTGAGGCGTCCGTCGTTTCCGGCGACCGCTGGAACCAGGTGCCTACCATGCAGGAAGTGAAGATATTCCAAGCGATGAGTAAGAACTCACAGGTTTGCTCATGTTTAGGGGGTAGCATTGAAACATTGACATGGCAAGAAACTCAGGAAACTTGAAACTCATGTTTGCAAAACAAACATCGAAAAGATATTGAAAAACAAATTACGGCAGACATTTGCAGAATCACACCCGGTGGACATTTTTCTCTTCGATCTGTCAGAAACTGATGGGTTTTGATCATGTCAAAACATCGGTGCCACTTTGTAGGGCCTTGGCCTTCACGGCATGTTGGGTCTTGCTGGCCATGGCAAGGGCCCACCTGGAAGATTCAATGGCGTCGGTGAGATATTGGTTAATGGGATGGCTGATGATTGGGTTTACCACACTGCCGCCTAAGAATCACGATGATACTATAGTAACGGACAAATAGTTAGAGCATCATTTGGGGAAAAAAAGTCAAGCCTTCACAGCGGGGATGTTCTAAGTATCACTTAGAACATCAGGAAAAAAGATATACTTAGAACATCTTAGAACATACCCAACATACTGTATATACTAAGAACATCCCAGGGGGAACCAATGGGAACCATATAGATGTTCGAAATGTTTGTCAGAGATACTATACACTTTTTATAAACTAAGATAGGGAGAATCTCCAGCGAAGATCAGACCTGTGTTCATACAGCTTATTATTTTCAAATAAATGCAATATATATATATATATGTACATATATACATATATACATATGAACGTGCATTTGGAAGACTCTGTATACATATATTTATATATACACAATTCCAGCCAAAACTCAATCCAATCTCTTCTTGGCCATCCAATTCCTTATCCACCTTATTTTGAGGGCTTGTGCATAGACTCCACTTGTCTGAGTTGTATTCTTGGTTTCCAGGATGTCCACAAGTAGGTGGCAGAGACTACACTTCGAACATCCAAGATCATGTTTTAAAAAATCTAGACACGTTGTTCTGTTCCTTTTCTTCAGGTCTTGTGCATAGACTCCATGTGGCAAGAAAAACGTATGTATTCTCAGTTTCCAGGATGCTCACACGTAGTTGGCAGACTCTACACTTAGAACATCCCAAATGAACCCAAACGAACCCAAATTATGTTTTAAAAGCTCTAGACACGTTGTTATGTTCCTTTTCTTCAGGTCTTGTGCATAGACTCCATTAGGCTGAAAAACCTTTCATATTATCAGTTTCCGGGATGCCCACAATTAGGTGGCAGAGTCTACACTTAGAACATCCTAAATCAATCTACATTATGTTTTAAAGATCTAGACGGGTAGTTCTGTTTCATTTCTTCAGGTCTTGTGCATAGACCCCATTAGGCTGAAGAACCGTTTATATCCTCATTCTCCAGGATGCTCACTGGTAGTTGGCAGACTCTACTCGACCATTTTTGTGCCAAAAATCATCCAAAATAAAACAATTTTACTATTGAAACCTATGTTTTTGGGTTACCCTCATCAGAAAACCTCCAAAGTTCAGAGACCTTTCCCATTTCAGCTAGATTGTGCGGGATATTGTTCCGGAAGAAAAGGCAGTTTTTTCAGCAGCACTGAGGGGAGAAAGTGTTTTAAGTGTGGTGTTCACAAAGGTATTTGCGTGTTTGCATGCAGATTTACCAAAGTCAATGGAAATGTTCTAAGTATATGGTTTGTTTATCTTCAAAGTATGCAAAAACAATTGAAATGTTCTAAGTGTATATATATATATAATGATATATATATACAGTATATATGCCCTTTGGATGTTCCAAGTTCGCACTTAGAACATTTTCCCATGTTCTAAGTATAGTGTCCGTTTATGTTCTAAGTAAGGGGTTGAAAAAATTGGAAAATGATGTTCTAAGAATAAGTCCCTCAATATAGGGCGCCCAGGGTCACCTAGGTGGACCAGGGCCATCCTCCAATTTCAGAACGAAAAATGACGTTGCTTCGGGTGATCCCCACCACGACAAAAAATAGGTTGACGAAGCAACACATCATGCGACGCATCTTCTGACGAGGCCTGCAACATATATATATTTGTGTGTGTAACTGTAAAAAAATAGTAAATTATGTGCATTTAAATATATATATATAATTAAAAATGCAGTGTTATATATATATATATATAAACAAATATATATATATATATATATATTTACATGCATATATACATACATACATACAGACATACATACATACATCCATGCATGCATACATACATACATACATACATTGCATACATTACATACATACATTACATACATACATACATACATACATACGTACGTACCATACATACATACATACATACATACATTACATACATACATACATACATGCATGCATGCATGCATGCATGCATGCATACATACAATACATACAATACATACATGACATACATGACATACATGACATACATGACATACATGACATACATGACATACATGACATACATGACATACATGACATACATTACATACATTACATACATTACATACATTACATACATACATACATACATTACATTGCATTGCATTACATTACATTACATTACATTACACTACATTACATTACATTACATTGCAATACATACATACATACATTACATACATTACATACATACATACATACATACATTTGACATACATACATATATATATATATATATATGCGCGCACAATATGTAATTTGTATTTATTGAATGTGACGAATATCATTTTCATCATTTTATCATTTTGCGCATCTCTCTGGCATCAATTTTGGCAGCTGTTCCAACGTTTTTTTCTGACAAACGTATCTTGACATATCTTCTGAATTCCTTCTGCATGGCAAATATTTTGGCATATCTTCTGACACTCTTGACATTTCAACCATATTTTCTGACAATTTTTATGGCACATCTCCGGGGAGCTTCTTTGACATACAGTATATATTCTGTCAATTTCCCTGACATTTAGCCTACATATGCCTACATACAAACGGAGCCAAGTTTAGACAAACCCATACGTGCAAACCTTGAGCCATATTTGTTCAATGTTCTTTTGCATGCTGATAATTTCGACCTACCCCATAGGTGTCGCCATAGTAGGTGACATTCAAAGATACATGCGCTACAGCGAGGTTTGGTTGTGGCCAAATATCGGGTTTTTCTTATGGCCATCATGCACACAACGAACCAAGAAACCTCCTGTGGCTCCACCACGCCCTATTTGATGCCCCATCCTGCTAGGCAGTCAGGCCCACGATGTTTTTTGGATGTGCCTGAACAATGATATAAATCTTGTAAGGGCACAATGTGCTCAATGCGCAGCAGGAAGCAAACATTGGAAACAAGCAATCCAACATCTGCTGGCCCGACTGCAAAGAAAATCAAAGAAACTTCAGCACAGAGCCACCAAAACAGAAGAATTGGTCAATTCACATGGGAACTGTGTGTGTGTGTGCGTGTCCCGGTTGGATTGCAAAAGCGCACAGTGCTTCAGCACAAGACTCCAATCCACCAGGTTGTCGAGGATTACATCTTAATGGCCGCCATACACAAACTTCTGCAGGTTCAAGGAATATTGCCCTTGAATCGTGGCAACGAAAGGCGTCCGGAACAACGATTTGACAAAGGACGTCTTGGCCGCTTGCGATGGCGCTTGCAAGGTGCAAAGGAGGTACCGTCCTTCGCCCACTTGAACTGCTGCGAAAGTTGCCAAGTGCGGAAACATCCTGGCGCAAGCAGGCAAGGAGCTGTCAAGATCTCACATGTCACGGCGGATTTTACAGGGCTCGACAAAGCATCCACAAAACTGGGATGGCTTGTATGGAGTTGATGGCAATGTATGGGCCCACAAAACTGGGCGACTTTGATCTCCATGTTTTCTGGGATTTCTTGACATGGCTATGGCTCAAATCAAATCATGTTCGATCACGTTGAGCCAGGCACTTCAGGTTACAGGCGTTGTACCTGGGCTTCGCCCTTCTCAGCGTCCTGGTCGTCCGCCATGGACGCAGCGGGTGGTACTGAATCGGCCTTCCCCGCCCTCCACTCAGCAACGAGACCTTGCTTCAAATGATTCTTGACGGGCCAGATACTACAAGACTGCCTGTGTACGTGCGTTTGTCCAGCAACCTGTTTCTACATGCCACCGTGGAAAATGAAACAATACAACCTCAACCTTAATTCTAAAGAAAAAATTGTTCAAAATGGAAAGCAAAGGGAAGAGGAAAGAACCACCATCACTGACCCCCGGATGAGATGACATGCCTTTTCTAAAGCAATGTATCACAGGGATCCTAATTTCATCATTTATGCCGTCTGCAAGACCGCGCGCTACACGGACATACTTTCAGACAGCCGCAAAAAAAGCAGGAGCACAGGGCTTTCCCACGCGGGTAAAACTCCATCAGTCTCCCCCACATGCGGGGGCTTCTGAACCTGGCAATAAGACTTGGGATCATGATGTTTGAAGTAGGCCACAAGAAAATACAGGAAAATCATCTGATGGCGAGAGTGAATTCCAAGTGCTGCGGGATGAACAACCTTTTTAAGGTTCACTTTGAAAACAAATCCCTTGACTCACAAAGTTGTTGACGTCATTCCTAATGTTATTTTCCATCCCCAATACAAGCGATTATCCCAAGTAATTACTTTCCATTAGACACTGAAAATGCAGCATTCCATGAGAAGGTTGCAAAAACTATATGCTGAAAACAAAGCCCAAATTGTGCCCCGCTTAACCATCAAAGTTGGCTGATTTTTGGCATTGCTCAAGCATGTCTCAAACCGTTGGCCTCAACCACACGCGGTCGCGGAAACATACGCGCCTTCAACGTGAGTCATGCCTTGCTGCACACACACACACACCAAAAAAGAAGAGCCTTGAAGTTCGGGCCACGCGGTGCCTACATCTTGTCAAAAGCCATGTGGGGCTCCCAAAAATAGAGGAAAGTCCCTCAAATATGGCTGTACGGTACAATACTTCCTTTAAATATACTTTTTTCAACTCTAGATATATCCCTAACTAAATATATATTTCTTTCTCTCTCTCTCTCTCTCTCTCCCTCATCTCACTAAAGATATATCGTATCCAGTTGCAGATACATCCACCAAAAACATCAAAAACCCTAGATGGTGTAGTTATAAACCATCTTAACATATCGTACCTATCGTGTTTCGGGCCCTAGACATCCGAAGCTACCTGCCGTCTACCACCTTCTCATTTGGACAAATGTGTGGGGCCCCTGCCGCAGCATGTCGAGTCATGTCGGATGAATTTGACAAGCCCCATCTTTGCAGGAGGTAAACTCAAGGTAGTGTCTTGTTGAAATAAATCTTCTTGAAGTTGAACTGGTGGCCAGAGTATGGGTGTGTCTAAAATGTGGTACTCCCAAATCCAATGGTCTATCATCCTCCTCCCTAAAATCACCTTTTGAAGCGATACCCCATTTTTGAAGAAACCCATATCTCAACATGGCCAAGTTTGCGGGTCGCCACGGCGATGATTCCACTGACAAAACTTGTGACATGCATCCGAATCCCGACATATATTCTGACATTTTTCTGGCAAATTCTCTGGCATATCTTCGGAGAACTTGTCTGATATATCTTCATACGGAGGAGGTCCGGGATGACCCAGAGACTCCGCGAGGTAGGTCGAGGAGCCAGGGAACTGGTGAGGCGATCAGGAGCCGGTCCGCTGACACAAAATCGATCAAAACATCTAGAGACCCTCACACCTGGGAATCCTGGGAAATGCAAACTCTCGCAGATCAGGTTCTATGTAGCCTGAAAGTTTGGCTGCTTGCCCCAGAGCTTGGTTCTGTTTGACCTAGATCTAAGTTGAGAACATCTCAGTGGTTCATCCCCTGAATCTGCCCTGCCTCTGCCATAAACAGCATGCGAGAGCTGAACATACCTTGGAGGCATCGGCTCAGATTTGTTTTAAAGGTAAAAATAAAACATATTATCAGGTCTGGTTGGTGTTTGAGTTGCTCATTCCTGCATTCCTCAAAAAAACATCTAGCGATTGGGGTCAATGAATTCGGCCGCCGAGCTGCCAGTAACGTGGAATGCTTCGCCCATCTTACCGCCATAGCATTGATGCATGGGGAGCATCATTGCAATGCCATAAAATCCCAAGGCTCTGCTCTGCTGGTAGCTGCGAGGAAAATCAGAATGGATTGGCACATTGGCACTCTCTCTGTGAGGTGGTTCTTGCCCACGTGTAGTGTGTATAAATAAATACATACATACATACATATATATATATATATATATATATACAACCTTGACCAGGGCAAAATTGGCAGCCATGTGGTAGCGCGTTTGATAGCTGAATCAAGAACAAGAGGCTGTGAGCAGTTCGAGCCGACAGCAAGGGAAAAAATAACATCAATTAACATCAATTAACTAACACAATGTTTATCCAAACGAACTGCGCTGCACATAACTTCTCCACAAGACGATAATATAGTTATTATAATGGAAAACCATGGAAAGCCCAACGAAAGCTGCTTGTGACACCCGCCTGCGCCATGGCCTTGGGCCATCACACCGTGCGCACAGCAGTCTCAGACGGGTCTTGTGGATTTCTTTGGAGTAAAGTCATTGCAATCCTATATGGCGATGTCTTAATTAATTGGATTTAATTGGCATCCAGGTGGTTAAATTTTCTCCGATTCTCTGGGGCTTTCCCAAGAAAAACGTAGCAGTTGGAGCTATGGCAACATGTGTGACATGTCACGGACATGGCATTCTGAACTGTCCAAAATCATGCTGCCTTTCTGAGCCAGAGAAACCAAATAGAACACCATCCAGTCCAGACAACACACTAAGTCAACCCAGGATCTAGTACTAATTTATTTCTATTCTGGGAGTAACCCTTTGAATTTATAGTCAAGGAATGTCAGAGATTATCAATCCTGCGTTTTATATTACTAGTACCCCAAAACTTGTCGGCCCGAAAATATCTCGAAATCGAACACCTGAGAGGGAGGAAACGAAAGCCAGCGAGGGTTTAACATGCATTCAAACACCAGTGTCAAAGCATCCTCCAACTGCTATCCCAGGAAGGGAAGTAAGATCCGCATGTGCATGTCTAGTCTTTGATGTTCCCGATACTGAAAACATGTAAATACTACCGCCAACCTGTTGCAAAAAACATGCGTAGGTCAATGTACCTCGCATGCAGCAAGCAACTCGGGTTGGTCTCTCACCCCCTCGCATCTGCATCGCTACACCTTAAACCTTACTGGACCGCATGTGGTTTAGCCATCTTCAGTGCCAAAGAAAAAAGGAAACAAAAATGATAAAGCATCTTCAACGCGAAGCCCACGGGACCAGATCAGCCGTTGAGGTTCAGCATGGCTCTTCCCCTCACGCCATATCCACTGCAGCCCTTCATCCGTGAAAAGCTTCACCCAAATCCGACAAAAATGTTCAAGCATCTTCAATGCGAAGCCCGCCGGATGAGATCGCCCGTTGAGGTTCAGCATGGCTCTTCCCGTCAGGCCTTCAATGAAGCCCACCGGACCAGATCAGCCGTTGAGGTTCAACATGGGTCTTCACTCTTCCCCTTCCCCTCAGGCCATATCACCCGCAGCGCTTCGTCCATCAGAAGCTTCACCCATTTCCCACAGAATGTTCAAGCATCTTCAATGCGAAGCCCACCGGACCATCTCCGCCGCTGACGTTCAGCATGGTTCATCTCATACTCTTGCCCAGCCCCATGATTTGCCCGTCGGGGGGAATCGAAGCCCTACTGTCACTAAATTGCCACCTGGTACATGACCGGAAAAAAAACCTTCTATGGTCAGCAGATTTCCCACTTGTATAATCAAATTGAAAATCGACCTCCCCCTAATACTCACTACGTTCGCAAACAACAGCTCAGCCTTGCCTGTTGGCTGGCTTTCGTAATATTTCAGCAAGTGTTTCACTCTGACAGTGGGCCTGCAATGGTTCTTATCAACAACACATGCTGAATAAAGAGCCACCTGATTTTCTCTCCCCAACTCAGCAGATCGGTATCCTCTGAAGGGATGAAGTGAGACTTCCAACGCGTAACGCTGCTCAGGTGAAAGGTTACATCCTCTCATAATATTAAGTACAAATATGGAAGAAAAAACATGTGCAACTGTGCCAATGGTTTCCCTGTGCCAATATTTTGGGGTTGTCTGAAAATGTGGTATATCCAGTATATCCATGTATATCACCAAATAGCAATTTCAAGGGTGATAATGGGTATAATGTAGTGTTAGCTAATGGATTTACAGGTATGAGTACCATATCTTCAAACAAACCCATTAAAAAAAAAACGTGTCTTCGAATCTTCAAAACTCCATTTTCTGGAAGTACCCTCTGGTAAACAGCCACATAGCTATGGAAAATCACCATTTTTAATGGGAAAATCCACTATAAATGGCCATTGCTGGCTGCCTCAACGCACAACTTGCAGGTTGCAACACGACGCTTCGCACGGGGAGGCCGGCGCACGCCTTCACGGGAAACAAGGGGCGAAAGGGCAACAGCCAGGTGAGGCGTTCGCTACATAGCTTAACTATTTTTGTAACCCTGGAATCCCTCTAGGATGCCAAATTCAGGAAATATGTGTTTTACATTGTTTTACGATTTTATATTTTAATATGGTTTTTGATACGATTGGAAGATATGAATTTGATACGCTTTGAATTTGGGGTTATGATTTCGATGTGGTTTTGTTATGTTTATGATATGGTGTGGGTTTTGGTTTGGATATGGTTTTGGAATGTTTTGGATGTGAATTTAATATGGTTTGGGAACGGGGCGCCTTTTTCAGGCTTCCCGACGGGTTGGCTTCAAGAAAGTAAACAGAAACAGCCCGGGAAAGCCTTTTGGTCGATTTCTCGAGGGTTTTTGTGGTTTTGATATGATTTTGATATGGTTTTGATACGATTCTGGGGATATCTGGGGATATAACGTGGTATGGTGGTGGAATGTCGTAGAATAAAATCGTACTTCATGGAATATACCCTTCGATGACCAAATGCGGCAATTGAAAACCACCCGTGTAGTTCGATGAACTATCCCATATTTTCACATTAGAAGCTCAGATTTTCTGTTGATATTAATTATGTTAGAATCATCAGAGGGTAAAAGTCAAGGTGTTGCCGCCACTAATCAACACCAGCGGAACTGCAGCCTGTTGTTAGCTTTGCTACTGAACGTACGTCTGAATGGCAACTGCATGGCTGCAGGATTGAATTACTAAATCGCTGTTTGTGTCTTTTGGGCTGAAAGGAACATGTGCTCCGCAGTCTGTCCTCCGAATGTTGCACCAAACTGAAACCGCATACGACCCCCAAGGTCTCGAAAAATTAAATTCTGTCAGTCTGGAAGTAGGGCACCCCAAATCCCATATCATCATTTTTCCCACAATCGCATGGCCATAAACTGGGTCATCCACCATTTCTAGACACACCCAAGTGGTTGCCCAGCTACGGTGGCATGTGACCATACAAGGCTGTCATGTACTGCGGCGACCCTGGAGGCTCTGCTAAGCTCTGACAGGGCGCGAAGGGAGGCACCTGGGAAGTCGACGGGAAGCCCACGAAACCCGCATCAAACAGGAGGCACACGGCCACACCACAGAAAACCATAAGAAAACCATAGGAAAACCATAGGAAAACCCTACCATCATCATCAGCAGCATCTGCAACAGCGGCAATTGCCATGGCACGGTTGAGTAGTTGATGATGAGGTGCGCCACACTGAAATTCCGTTGTTTACTGCAAAGAGCTACCTGCAAAGAGAGGGTGGGAACGTGCAGGTCCATCAACCACCAGCTGTGGGGATGACAGGGTGGAGAATTTTTTGCCTGCAAAATTCAGCCAAAACAAACATGCCATAGATTGTCCCACCGCCATGAATGGATTGTATAACTCTGGCGGAAATGGGACTAGCATAAGAACCCCAAAGAGTATGGGAAGCCTATGGAAAGGGAGTTCCCATCATCGCGGGTCCCTACAAAATCCATCAAAATTCCACAAAGATCTGGCTGAACCCCATAAAATCCTATAAAATCATTCTAAAATATCCTATAAAGTCAATGGGAATTTCAGGATCCTAAATTGGAGGTACCTACCATATATAAGGCCTATATAAGGCCTATGTAAGGGAATATCCCAACAAAATATGGTCTTATATGGTACAGTACCTCCATTTTAGGATCCTGAAATTCCCCTAGATAAAATCCCTTTACAGTAACCTTTTTGAAACATGGTCGAAACTCTCGGACCCCCACTATGGAATCATCTCCCGCCGTCAGGTCAGGTGGCTTTCAAGGGACTTCGCTCTTTGGCTCCGTTGATCATACAGCGCACCTGTGGCATCGACGCATGAGGACACCCACTTACATAGACCTTGGATGAATCATGTTGAATACATTTATGGTATCTTATGGTTTTATACTTGAAAGATCTTGAAGGGTGAACATCATGTGAACGTCATGTTTCCGAAACATTTTCCTATGATGTAGGATGGATGGTCTGATGGGCGCATTTAGCCCATCATGGCCCATCTGATGCGCCTGTTTCAGCATCGTCCATGTGGCTTTGAGTTCGGCTTCCGTCATTTTGACCTTGGCTCATTCAGAACGCGTTTGTTCACAGTGACTCCACATATTCTTCGCTTGAGGCCACAGCCTATTATATAGATCTATTAGTTCGTAAGTGGGTCACATTTCATTCAAAAATATCTTATAACCCAGTAACAGTCAGTAACCCAGTTATGATGTCTGGAACATCCCCAGTTATATCACTGGATAGTGCTATACCTGTCAATGCCTTGCCGCACATGCATTTCTGAACCCTTCTGCGACCGAGTCAGTCTAATGATCTAGCCAGCTTACTAGCTTAGTGCCATGCAACATCATCATGTCCCATCATTTCTCCATCCATTTTTACGCATCTTTACGAATCTTTGCACATCTTTACACTTTGGTAAACTAACATAGCTATTAACTATTGAAAATCACCCATGAAAAATGGAGTAGGTTTCGAGCTGCAAAAACTCTTCGAACTTTTTTTAGCCTGGGAATTTTGCATATATATATATATATACATTATATACATATATATATATATGTTTATATAAAGAAAAACAGAGGGGTATCCACCGTTTTGACGCCTGGCCACACTTTCATTGGCCTGCATGAAGGAAGCCATGGCCTGCTTTCGGCAACTGTCATAGGCGGAGCAGTCCACACCCATCCGCGTCTGCAAGGCGCACACTGTGCTGTCCACCATCAGCTGCTTCTCGTCGCAGGCCTCCAGGGTTACCCAGACTCAGTCAGGGAAGGGTTTTTATAGCGCTTTGACCTCTGAAAATGTAGCTATTGCATGATTTACCTGTTGAAAATGATGATGATGATTTTCCATCGCACATTGTTAAATTGCAAAAGGCTAAAAATGCTAGGATTTATAGAGGATTTATCAAGAATCACTGGATAGGTTCATATACGGAAAAAATTATGGAACATTTGGATTTAACAATGATTTGACCAACAAAAATGGTGATTTGCCGTAGTTAGACGTGCAAAATGGGGATTTGACCAACCAAAATGGATTGTTGATGGGAAATACCAACAACCCAAGGCAAAGGGGTGGAAGTTTTGATTGAGTTAATAAACCGAAGTGTGAATGCAACCACAATGGTGTATTTAAGCAACCAAAAGGATTAGTTTATGGGAGGAAAAACATGCAGACCCACACGTAGTCCAATAAAATGTAAGTTTTCCCTTGATCCTATTCCAGCAAACGAGTCAGGGTAACGGACGAAAAATGAGGGGGGACCAGAAGCTGGAGAATTCGTTGCGCACAAGAAACTGAACAAACCTGGGCATGCGAACAAGAATCCAACCATCGGGCCTTGTGTCCATTGGCCAAGTCCTGCCGTGCCTTCTCACATCGTTCAGATTGCATCTGTGCTTGAACTTTGGCCTACCATTGGGAAACTGAGGGATCAGGATGGATTAGGCAAGCTGACATCTGGTGTAAGTGGGGTAAAATCATGTAAAATCATGATCTTCCAGAACATCCATCATCCAATTAATTTAACCTTGATCAACCTGGTGTTTATTGGAAGCGCATGGAAGCGCTTCAGCGTCCAAGGTCAACCTCCCAAGGGCCTCCTCACAGTCTCTCCTCCGTGTTAGCAGTTGTGCAAGGCTATCTTCCAACTCCTAGCAGTCAAAACAGGCTCAAGACTTTGAAAATGGAGTTGCCCACCTGCAATTCATGATGCTGTTGTGGCAAATTATGGCTGGTGGAGTCTCAGTCATTTCGACCAATTTATGAACGGCATCATCACTGCCGGGCACCATCTGTCCACCTACACCATACATCACTGCGGCGTAAAGACTGCCAAAAAAACATCCAAAAACATCATTCACTCGCCAGAAGACCTACTGTTGCGTAAGAACCAACGACTACAGATCGACCCAAAAAAAGATGCCGAAAAAGTGTTGAAACCAGGATGGTAACTCGATGATATTTACCTCAGATGTTCATGTATTTCCCAACTTTTCGGCATCTATGACTTGGGGTTGCTATACAGTAGGCCATTCAAGCGCCCCGTGGTATACCACATTGTATCTCAACGTACAATATGTAAGTATCTCATGACATCATAGCAATCCAAACAATAACTATGTATTAGGGATTCATATACAGTAATAGCTTCAAATACAATATATAATGTGGGTAAAGCATGGTAAAATAATAATAAACCATCCCCAATTCCACTATTTTTATAAGTGGTATAAACCATGCCCAAATGGTTGTTTTACCTCCATCCCCCATTGCCAGCACCCTGCAAAAAAAAATAAATCTTAGCTGGTTAGTAGATAATCCCGATACCAAAAGACTAAAGGATTAAAGTACCCATCTAAGATTGACATAGTTACAAATAAAACATTCCCCGACTAATCATCAAAGGGTAAAGGGTAGTAGAATCCCCCAACTAATCATCTACTCATCTAGTTACAAATCAAACAGGGAAATCATCTACTAATCATCTATAATGATTCCCCAACTAATCATCTACTAATCTACAAATAAAACTGGTATGTGGCAACAAATCCCCTAATCATCATACTTACAAATCCCCCAACTAATCATCTAGTTACTATCCCAACTAATGTCAACCCTGGATTAATAACCCCCTAGATTGTTTAATTGGGAGGGTACCATTTAAGTATTAGATTATGACTATTGGAGGAGTACCCCCCTAATTTTTCAAAACCATGGTTTAGCAAAATCCGGGCTTGACATTAATCTAGTTATATCTAGTTATATCTAGTTACTATCCCAACTAATCACTCATCTTGGGATAGGCCCTGGCATCACTCGCATCGCTCGCATCGCTCCTTGATCTTTCGCTCGTGATACGCCTCAGGAGCTTCATGCGCCTGCGCCTGGCACACGACGCTCGCCTCCGGCACCGTCCTTGGCGTAACACCGCAGATCTTTGGAGTCAAGGAAGTGCTTTCCATGTTATAATGTATATAATACATATTATATTATATTACTATATTATGTTAGATTACTATATTATATTACTATATTATGTTAGATTACTATATTATATTACTATATTATATATATACTGTATGATGCATCAAACTGTAAATGCAGATTGTGGATATGTGTGTGTGTCTATTTCAATAATTTTCATTATATAATATGTGTAAAAACGAACAACATCTATATAATTGAGCGTGTGTGTGCGTGTGTGTGTGTGTGTGCGTGCAGAAAATGTAATCTAAATTGAGGCTTCCTAAGTCATGGGGGTACCCCCAAATCATCCAGTCGTCATGGATGACCATGACTTGGCATTAAAACAACCATGGTGACGACTGGGGATCCACCAGCCACAAACTTCAAGGCGATGCCTTTTGTACAGGAATTGAAAGCATAGAGATGCACAGGAACGCAGCAAGTTCATAGATTTTATTTTACTAAAACATACTATAACAATTTAGAACCAATCATCTATATATAACTTTATATCCATAATTTATAGATGCTCGCTGCGGGGAAAAACTCATTGCTACTAAATTTGCAACTGTGTGTCTCTTGAGTCAATATCTTGTTGTTTGGATGGCACGAGATTCACTGATCAATCTCACATCGGCATCCATCCACAACAATCTGTAACAGCAGCACTACCATTCTGTTATGAAACTCTTCGTAGCCCACTTGTTCTCACCATTTCAGAAGAAATATATGGCTTCCCATGGCTCCTTAGCAGTCCTTCGCACGCTCCCCCTCCATCAACCGAACCAGAGCAACGGCTCTAGCCAAGTCTCCGGGAACGTTCATATAATGCACATTTGGCATCCTCAACCGTCTTGGCTGCTTGCAGCAGCGTAGTGCAGGACCTGAACGGTTACATTTCCACTTTTTGCCAGATGTGAACTGCAAGTACTGTCAATCCCGGCTGAGGCTAAACCCGGGTTGATGAATTTTGTCACAGTGTCACCACCAAATGGTGATAAGTTGCTTTCCACATTGAATTACCGGATCAATGAACTGTGTTCCTTTGAATCCTCGGTCAACATCAGAGGCACCAGCCCCCTAGTAGTCCCCTGTGTGACATGCCATCGGTTTCAAGGACCATGCCTGTGAATCTGGGCAAATAATCATGAACGACTCCCCCCACGTTCAACAAAGATGTCACTTTCTGAATCGTTGCTTCCAAGGGGGATCTCCGCAACATCTTCGTTCAGCTTGGTGATTTTGTTTGGGATTCACTTAGCCACATCGGCCACAGGCGCCATGATCCCAAGCTCCACCCAGCGACAAATTCGCATCTAGCAGGAGCACTTGATGCTGACCTGGGATTCTCACGCATCAATGGACCAGCTTTTGGATTTGTTTTTTCAACTGCTTCTTTTCGCCACCTACCCTCTGGTAAACTAACATAGCTATGGAAAATCACCATTTTTAATGGGAAAATCCACTATAAATGGCCATTTTCAATAGCTATGTTAGTCATTACCAGAGGGTACATCCGGTAACATAGATTGTGACACCACCATCCCCAACGACACCCCCGGCACGCCGGGAAAAGGCTGCAGGAAAGCTGCGACATATGAGGTGCTCTTCAGCAAAGTGCACGATTTTTTTCTGATCCAACACCTCAGTCGGCAAAGGATTGGTTGGAAAACCTGGAATAGCTATCCTGAAGCATGTCATAGATGTTGATATTGACATTGACATTGATATATGAATAAGAAGACAAGTACCTGTAGGTATATTATATAGGAATATATATTATTATTTAGAACTTAGGTATCTAAAACCTCATAGAAATACGATGAAATGTGTAATATGTATAACTTTCAAATGTAATATGATAATTCAAAACCATTCGAAACGCGTTGCCGCGTTGCCATGAATGGAACAGCACGCCAAGTCACAGAGTGGTTGAAGGCTGAAAGCTGATCCTCTTCACCTCGTTGGATTACGAAATCCGAAGCCCTTTGGGATCAATGATCTGACAACTTTGGAAGATTAAAGAGCACAGGGTGCCCTTTTGTGGTGCCAGCTGACCTGCAATACTAGTGGATGTAGACTTGACATGACTTGACAGATTTTGATTTCGGAAAGAATTGCTCAACTCAAAGTTCTAAAGTTTACAAGATCCGAGCCGGTCAAGTTTCTGGAAAAAAGTCTTGGGGCTGATGAGGATTCTGGAGTTGTTTGTGGCAAATAACAGCAGGCAGCAGGCTTATCATTTCCAAAATCTTAGAGCTGGCTGTGCGCGACAGAGATCCGATCGACAGGTGATTGTTCTGCACTGGCGCGTGAAGCCCCTGTTCTAGGAAGTGAAGCTAAAAGATGGATACGCCCGACTATTGCCCCTCGTATTACGGCCTGGTCATGGACTTCACCAAGAGCACCATCTAACAAATTGTAGGAGGTAGGGACTTGTCCCTCGTCTCACTGGATTGGTTGAACCATGTTGAACCCAAAGATAGAGGTTTCCTGTAAATTGTCCTTAAGCAACCCCATGATATCCCATGATGGTCGGGCTTGGCCAAGCTGCACTTGAGGAAAAGCTCATGGAAACCAGAAATCTCATCTTGCGCCACGCTGAAGTCCTTGGGACCCATGCTATGAATAATCTCCTTCACTATCCATACCATATGAAAACATAGACACATAAATTGGTTTAATTCATTGAAAGTGAATCTAGACTCATCAATAAATACACACACATATATATATATATCACATTAATTATATATCATAGAAAGGATAAAAACTGATAAATCAAATCGGAGAAATGTGAACGAATGAATATGACTAAATCAAAATGAATAAACCAGTGTGAAGAAATCAATACGAAAAAACAGGACCAATATGAATAGATCAATATACAAAGCCCTCCGCTAATTTACAGTAACTCACGCTACCTGGATGGTACTCCTAAAACCAAACCATAATAACATTGAACACAACTAAAGTGAAATAAACGTGTGATAATTTTTCGGGCACACAAAAAAATGGCTGGTCTGATACTGTGGATGGTTGAGAAATCCTGCACCAGTTGGTAGATGGTTTAACTATCCCAGTTTATGATCCCACCCAATAATCCTCTTAATGTTAAACACCCCCTTAATGGTCCCAATTATGTGGAAATTGCCTACTAAACCATGGTTTCGTGGTGGTAATTTTTATTAGCAAGAAGGGATTAGTTACTGCAGGGTTTTGAGCCAAGGTTCCCTCTCCACGGCAGGCTCCAGCGTCTCATTCACGATCTCATCCACGCCATGCAGGACGTTGTCGGCCGTGCTGTTGGTCGCATTACTGGCGGCCACTGCCATCAAAACCTGCACACGAGGTCGTCAGGCTGTCATGGCCATAGCTGGAGAATCTCCGAAGTCAATGGAAGTTTTCAGATGTTTTAATACGTTTTAAATGTTCTAAGATGTTCTAAGTTTGATATCTTTAATGGAAGTTCGGAACACTTTCCGTACTGCAGTGCAGTTTAATGTCGTATGATGTCGTTCAACGTCGAGTTCCAAGAAGTCGAGAAACATGATGAGATTTGGTAAGTGTCGCAAGTAGCTGGAAACCTTTGGACATCAGACATCTAATTTATTTGATTTGTCTGAGCGAACATATCATCAGCATTCCTCCCATCGACATTGCCATGAATTGGGGACTGGTTTACCCTCCGGCAATCTAACAGTTTGCTATTGAAAATGGCCCGTTTATGGTTGATTTACCTATGAAACGTGGTGATTTTCCATAGTTATGTTAGTTTACCAAAGGGTAAGGGAAACCATGTTCTTTCTCCATGGAATATTGAGAGTTCAGTTCAACCACGATTTTTCCCTTGAACCAGTCAGCCCCAGGCGTTCCGGTTGCCTTCTGAATGGCTGACAGGTTTCGATTGGCAAGGCTGATGCCTAGCTGCTGAACATCCTGCAAAACACCTCAAAAGCAGGTCAATGATGGTCAATGGCCATTTCAGGTAGCGATTTATTGGAGTACCATATGCAGTATGAGGTCTATGTAAGGCCTATGTAAGGGAATATCCCACTAAACATGGCCCAAAATATGGTACAGTCTGGTACAGTACATCAATTTTAGGGACCTGAATGGTCAATTGGCAGGTCAAGCATGGTCCCGATCCCCAAGCGGAGACCTGGGAAATGGAGATATTTTGCAGCCATCCACTCATCCACCAGTTAATAGTTATATATATATATATAAGTATGGATATATGTGTTTTAGCTGTAGTATTATTAGCGGACCAGTTCAGAGGCGGCACATACATCAACCATGACTCTCGAAAACAAAGCTGCGCGAACTTGCGAAGGATATCCTGATGCGTTTTTAAACATGTATAATATTTATTGTTATATATATATGTGTGTATATATATATATATTTATTTATTATTATTTGTTTAGGAAATTTATTTAATATACCAGTAATACCGCACAAGGTGGTGGCGGAAGTTTCAAGGATAGGACACTATAGGAGAGGTGGGTTGTTGTGATGCATGGATGGCAGAGCGAATCCACTGATGGACCGAAAGGTGGTTGGAGCTGTGCTTTCTGGAGTGGTTGCAAAGGTTGCAGTGGTCACCTCGCTCACAATTCCTGGATGTAGTGTGGTGTAGTGCAGTAGTTGTAGTAGTCATTGTAGTTGTTGTTGTAGTTATAGTGGGGTTGATGTTATGGAAGTTGTAATGTTGTAGCTGTAGTTGTGGTTGTAGTCGTAGTTGTAGCGTAGCTGAGTCGTAGTTGGAATTGCAATTGCCTTAATCTTAATTGTAGTAACTGTAGTAGTTGGACTAGTTGTAGGAGTTGTAGTTGTAGTTGTAGTTGTAGTGTCGTGGTAATTGTTGTAGTAGTAGTGTAGTTGAAGTTGTAGTTGAAGTGTAGCTGTAGCGTAGCAAAAGTTGTAGTTGCAGTTCTAGTTGCAGCTGTAGTTGTAGTTGCGTAGTTGTAGTAGTTGTTGCAGTTGTAACTGTAGTTGTAGTCGTAGTGGCACTTGCAATTGTAGCTGTAGCTGTATCCTAGTTGAGGTTGTAGTTGTAGTATGTTGCAGTTGAATGTAGTTGAAGTTGTAGTTGTGGTTGCAGCTGTAGTTCTTGTAGTTGAAGTGGAGTTGAAGTGAAGTTGAAGCGTAGTCGAAGTTGTAGTTGTAGTGGTAGCGTAGTTGAAGTTGTAGCTGTAGTGTGGCGTAGCGCAGTTGCAGCTGTCTATCTATCTGTCTATGTATATATATATATATATCTGTTTATATATGTGTCTTTCTGTTTATCCATCTATCTCTCTATCTGTCTATCTGCAAGCTTGAAAACGAAGCAATTCTGCGAGACTTCCTCAACTTTTGAACTTGACAACATTAAAAACGAAGCTATTATGCGAGACTTCCTCAATTTTGGAAGTTGTAATATACATATGTATTTTCATGGTTCAATAACCATCATGAAACGTCATGAAACCTGCCATTGATCTGAGTCGATCTGGGAATCGCTACCCGCCATTTCCTCCGGCGACTGGATGGTCGGAGATGCCGCACTTGCCAGCAGCCATAGCAACGGGAAAATCATCCGCGCTGCGGCCGATCTCGCTACATTGAAAGTTGCACCTGGGGGCTGAACAGCCCCACTGAAGTGAGCCTACGGCAGGGGTAGTGGCAATCAATCGCAATCATGTCACAAGACCCACCAAACGCTTCGCAAAGTGCTGTGCAACCATCAAAGTCATGGAAGGCGTTCAGAATGACACCGACTTTTTCGCAGCTTGTCCGCAGCGCAGGCCCAAACAGTTTACTGATGCCTGCGTGCTCAGGCGCATCCACTTGATCGGGAAATGGCAGTGTTACGTGACCTTGCCACAACAAACCCAGAGTGGTGGCCCATTTCCTGAGCCAAGGATATTGCATGACGAACCCGGATCCTGTGAGGTCTTGTAAGTTACTGTAAGTTCCATGTGATGTTTATGTTTATTGTTATTGCTATTATATATGTATATATATGTGTGATTATATATATATATTTATGTGAATGTGTATATAAATAAACAAATGCTACTTGTGCTACTAGTATTACTTTTACTCTCCATACGACTCTCCTATGTCACCCTGACTCAGGCCAGCTCTCGGAATGATGCACTTTGACTCGCCAATTTGGGCAGTGCTTCCAAGCGCGCCACGGGCACAAGAACTGAGGGTTTCCATAAATGGGGTACCCAATAGCTGGATGGTTTATAAGGGAAAATCCTACTAAAATGGCTGATTTTGGGGTACCCCTATTTTAGGAAACCCCCACACCACTCAGCCAGCGCCTACTTGCACCATCCCGGAATATCCTGAAAAGGTCCTGAATCCTCACACCTTGAGATGGACCACAGCTGCCCAAAAACATCAAGATATGGTTTAGATGCTGCGATAAATCATGAAGCCTCATGAAATTATATATATAAACATATATATATATAATTATATATATTAATATTGTGTGTGCGCGCGCGTGAAATAAAAAAGTTACACTACTTACGGTACTGTAAGTAAAATATAATGATTCGATCAAATCATCATATATATCCAGGACATTCCAGGATGATCACTTTGCACTATTGAATCATGAAACTTGGCGACTCGCCCAAGGGCCCCCTTCATCTTCGCCGCATCCACCCAAGTTGATCCTGCGCGCATGGCTGGGATTGAAACATATTGAAACCATCCCCAAATGGTAGGTTCGCCACCCGAATTACCATATTCTTGATCGGAACAAATCACTCTTAGCAGAAATAAGCAATGGCACCGTTTCATCCAACATCCCATCATGTGGGGTTCCAATCTAGGTGAATGAATCAGGGACTTCTCATTTCGATGCTTGACAATGTTCCAGCAAACCCTGCACTTCGGATTTACGGATGCAACATGCAACAATACCTGGATCTCAAGCCATGTTGTCGGTTGAGGCCGCTGAAAACTTCAGCCTTGATCATCCTTTGCCCGGTTAAAATTGCAATATTTGGGGTACCCTGCAGTATTCAATCATGGCAAAGCTGGAAAATCCCCGATCTCAATGGAGGTTTTCATGGGAAATTCATCTATACGTGGGGGGATTGTCCCTCCCATCGCCTTCTCAAAGAGTTCAGCAAACCATGTTTGATTACCGGAGGCTATCCCCTATTTTCGGGCCCACCCATTTTGATCTCACGCTCAGTCCGACGCTTAGCCACAGGCACAGAAGGGGAACCTTGGAGCGGCGAAGGAGGTAAAAACTTTTTATACTATGGTCACGCAACTGCAAGGTGATATCCTACACATCCTACATATGATAATGCGGTAAACATCGGTAAACCGTTTACCTGGTAAACCCAATAACAAGGTGGCGGCACCTGTGGACAATAACATACGTCCAAATTTGGAGAATTTATATATATATACCACGTTGTCCTATATTATATAATGATATCCTACCAAATTCAAACGGGTCTTTCAACGTTGCTGCGCTATGTTTCCAGTGCTCATGCATGTCAAAATGCTGAGCCATGCCTGCTGGGTATACATTCAACGAACCTGGAATTTGGCGCAAATAAATTCGAACCATAGACCAAACAAATGGCTGTGCCTAAAAATGTCAAAAACCGGGTGCCCTATTCCATCCCATGGTTTCAAAATGTTTCAAAACGTTCCATTGTCAAGTTTGGGGTAATTAACACACAATTCATTGTGTGGCGGGCCCCAAAAAAAATACGGTATTTCTACGGATATGTTCATTTTCGTGCTGGCACTCCGTATGTTCATAAACTAAGTAGGTGTTTATCCGTATTACATAATCCTATTGAAGTTTCATCCATTCATCCTATGTTTTCATCTATATTTTTGGACATCTAGAAATGGTACCCCATATGGCTATCGGTCAAAACCTTGGTGCCTTTCTGTCCGCGTCAAACTAGCTGGAATTTATGAATTTGAACATCCCCCAAATATGGTATAGGTTTTGATCCATACCCATATTAAAATATTACCTTCCCGTTTGGGGGTCATACCCATTGATCATTCCTATACTTGGCAGCCTATAAAAAAGGTCTGGAATAAATATACATACATACAGTATCATCTGTATATGGTGTAGTGTATATTGCATACTTAAATAAATAAATAAATATATATATAGCGCATTATGAGTATTGTTCTTTCTATTATCATTATTTTGTTGTTGTTATTGTTGTTATTGCTATTATTGTTATTATTGCTATTATTGTTATGATTGTTATTATTGTTATTATTGTTATTCCTGCTATTACTGTTATTATTGTTATTATTGTTATTTTTGCTCTTATTGTTATTATTGCTATTATTGCGACTATTGTTGCCTTTGTTATTAGCAATTGCTATTATTGCCAATATTGTCATTAATGCTGTTGTTGTGAAAATTATTAGTATTGTTATTGTTATTATTGCTATTGTTATTATTGTTGTTATTGTTAATATGGTTGATATTTTTAATTATTATTGTTATTGTGGTTTTTACTGTTATTATTATTACTATTATTTACTGTCATTATTGCTATGGTTGTCATAAAATCATATTGCATAGTCTTTTAAATGTAGTGTCTATATATATATACATACATATATAGGTACATGATATTAATATATGTGTAAATCATATCAAGGAGCCAAGGTGTCGAAGTTGTCCCTGGCTTCGCTGAAGCCAGGTCCTCGTCCTCTGCCTTCGAAACTTTCTCGACGCGGTTTAGGCTGTCTTCGAAGACAGGGACGCCGCACCTGCGAGGGAGCGGATGGATGTGGTTGGTGGTTGAATCCTAAATCATTACAAGCTATATTTATATTTATATATGTACGTATATACCAAATCTTGGTGGTTAAATCCCCAAAAATGACCAAGCAAAGTATTTGGAGGTTTCCTAGTCATGGGGGTTCCCCAAATCATCCAAGTCATGGATGCCACTCTAGTATTGAAAGCCATGGTGACTTGGGGATGCCCCATTCTAAGAAACACCCAAACGATTCAGATACATTTAGGAATGATTGGACAATGAATTAGACGGTGATTCATGATGGTTGATTTAACTTGTAAACTTGGATGAATGATGAAATGGAATGCTCGAAGAAGATGATGGTTTGATGATGGGCATATGTGGGTGGCACCAAAAGAACAAATGCCTGAAAACCCCAAACCATCTCAAACCTTCCCTCCCCATCCACCAATCAACAACACATGCAGCGGGTGGAGTCTGAAAGGCGTCCTTTTTGGATGTATGGTCCGAAGGGCAGCTGCTTGACTGCGCAAGGATTGTAGCGTTACAAGCTGAGATCCCTGCAAATGGGCAACCAAAAGGATGCAGGTGACTCCCACATAAGAGTCCTGATAATCAAGACATGAGATGATGACGATGGCGATGAAGATGACGGTTATGACGACGAGGATGATGATGATGATGATGATGGCGACGAAAATGGTGATGGTGATGGTGATGGTGATGGTGTTGATGGTGATGATGATGATGATGATGCTGGTGGTGGTAGTGATGATGATGGTGATGGCGATGATGGCGATGGTGATGATGGCGATGATGGTGATGATGGCGATGATGGCGATGATGAAGATGATGAAGATGACGATGACGATGGCGATGGATGGTGATGATGATGATGATGATGGTGATGGTGATGGTGATGGTGATGGTGATGATTATGATGATGATGATGATGATCATGATGATGGTGGTGGTGGTGGTGATGGTGATGATGGTGGTGGTGGTGATGGTGATGGTGGTGATGATGATGACGACGATGACTATGATGATGATGATGATGGTGATGGTGGTGATGGTGGTGGTGGTGGTGCTGGTGCTGGTGCTGGTGCTGGTGATGGTGATGGTGATGGTGATGATGATGATGATGATGATCGTGATGGTGATGATGATTATTATGAAGACTATTATTGTGATTATTATTATGATGATGATGGTGGTGGTGATGGAAATGATGATGATTATAATTATGATGATGATGATGACGATGGTGATGATGATGATGATGATGGTGATGATGGTTATTATGAAGACTATTATTGTGATTATTATTATGATGATGATGGTGGTGGTGGTGATGGTGATGATGATGATTATTATTAAGATGATGATGATGATGATGACGATGGTGATGATGATGATGGTGATGATGATGATGATGATGATGGCGACGAAAATGGTGATGGTGATGGTGATGGTGATGGTGTTGATGGTGATGATGATGATGATGATGATGATGATGATGCTGGTGGTGGTAGTGATGATGATGGTGATGGCGATGATGGCGATGGTGATGATGGCGATGATGGTGATGATGGCGATGATGGCGATCATTTGCGGCGAATCGGGATGCCTGCACAATATTGATGAAATCACCACAAAATGTACACTGTGGTTTGGCAAATTTTGGCAAAATGTGACATAGTCATTGAATGCCACCCTTAGATGCCAATGAAATTCATACATTTTGACGTTATCCGACTATTCGGTCCATAGACGGCCACGATTCTGGAAACAAGGTACCCTTGCTAGACACAAAATACGCGAAAGGCCTATGTTCTGATGAAGTTTTTGGTCAGTCGCAAGGGAAACTCCGCCGCCCCTTCGTGGCAACTTTGGCTGAAAGAGACAGAAATCGATAACTTGCAGTCTGCTGGGGGCAAGTCTTCCATGTCCGTCTGTGATGCGTAAACCAACAGCGGCAGCTGTTTGCAATGGAGCTAGTGGACCACAGCTGGGTCACATGCATCTCTGGATTTGACGTCTTGGATAAAACCTAATTTGAATGTATTTAAATATATGAGAATATATGTGATATTATGTGATATTATGTGATAATATATGTGAACCACATCTTTCAAACATGCCCCTTCTGGTCTGGCAATGCCAGCGTATATCTCTACCGCTGGCGACGATGGCGACTCACACTCTGCTGCCACCAGAACCTTGGGTGCAAAAATTGCGAGGGGGTGCGGCCTGAACCGCCCACGAATCGCATCGTTTTTGTGCTGAAAATATCTGAACATTGGAATCAATCCATCCAAGTTTGGGGAATACGAAATTGACTTCGAAGAATCTATCCATCCGTTTGACACTCTGACACTTCACTCAAGATTCAAGATATATACTAGAAATTCGGACGGAAGAAGATATCATAAGCAAGACAACTGTCCAGGCATCTTCTGCAAACACGGGCCCTTTGCAACATTGTAGATTGTCCATGATCGTCCACGGGTGAGTGGATGGGCCACCCATCACCAAAGTATGAAAATCCACTAAAATAGAGAAATCCAAGGATGGAAAATGCAGGGTCAGAACGCAGGTTTGAAACCACCAGCCACCAGCCATGTATCTTGCAGAAACCATCCCATATATGTACATTTTGTGCCATCAAACAATATCTCATCACACCGCCATCATACCACCATAATGTCATGATATGCCATGATCCTCCTCCTCCTCTCATCATCAACATGTCATAAATACATACCTTCATTCATATCTAAACATAGTCTAAACATAATAAGCACACATATACGTATGGTTAATTAATCATGATCATACATACACAATCAGCTAATTATACTAGGCTACTTCTTCAAAGTTGGGCTGCCCCTTTTCCATGCTGCCACCGAGCGTTTCATCACTGCACGACCGAGCTGCTCCGGCCGATCATCTCCGCCATGCTGCTGAAACTCCTCTTGGTGGCAACCCAATCCCGAACCAAGATGAAGCTCATGATGGACTCAGCGTCCGCGGCGAAAAACCGAGAAATTGAAGGGCGAAAGACACTTTTTGTGGCGAGGACATATTGAGATATTGGAAAGATCATGGGGATACATATAGATGTGTATCATTATATATTGATATATGCATTTAGATACACACACACATATATATATAATCATCATCATCATCATAATTATTTAAAACAATGAATAAAAATAATAATGAGAGTAGATGATAGTAGTAATAATGACAATACGACAATAGTGCGAGTAACAATGATATTCGCGGATTGCAGTATTCATATTCAATGGTGATATCATGCGATGTAGCCAAGGATGTGGGCTGAGGGTTTGTGCTGAAATAGCGCACATCCCAACAAGTGAATTGGCGGCCCCGTGCATGGAGAAAGCGAACATGACTTGACTGAAAACAAGATGTTCAACCATAAGATGGAGTGCCTTCCAGTACCCCATGATACCCTATGTTCATAGAAACTCATGATGAAAAGGTGGAAAGAGGAAACAAAAAAAAAACATCACAGAAAGTGCGTACGTTACAGTATCTTTTCTGCAGCTAGCATTGTGTGAACGGGATGCTGTGGGCACAGCATAAGAGCTCGAAGTCGTGGATCAATCATGGGGGGTCTGGAGCAATCTGAGCAGCCCTGCGAACATCAGCAAAAGAGTGGCAATGATTGGCACCGCGATGTAGAACTGCAGCACAACAGTGGCGTTTCTCACGCTGGGAAGCACATGGAATTGTGATGAAGATTTCCTACTATAAATATCCTCGGTTGAATTTCACCTATGGGGTCGGGACCCGTCATTTTGTAGGCATTGCATTTGTTCCTAACCTCAGCCATTATAAAATGATGGTGCTCCACCTACTGAGGGTTTCGGAAAATAACAACATGATACTGCTACAAAATGAAGATTGGTTTTTATCATCAGGATGCTTGAAGGGGATACTCCACCACTACAAAAGGAAGATTTGTTTTTGCAATCAGGCTACTTGAAGTGGATCCTCCACTACAAACCGAGGATTGGAAAGGATTGGATTTTTATCTTAGCTTTTACATGTCAAGCATGCAACTGAGATTAGGTTTTAACATGTTGCTTTCCGAAGGGCAACTTCCCTTGCTACAAAATGACTTTTGATTTTTTAAAGGTGTTTCAGCCATCCAAGCACTGAAATCTTATAAAATGTAATTCCCAACCCGTTTCTACAAAATGCAGGGCCCAGCACCATTTTGGATGTTTTCTTAAGAAAACACCTTTTATACGTGGCACAAGGCCTCCCATTCTGTGCTGGAAATTGGATGAATAGGGTTTCCAAACAAATTGGAGGCCCCCATGTTTTTCATCGTGCTTTCCGCACCTGAGTTTCAACAAAGGAGCGAGGGCAATATCCTCCCATATAGCCATCGAGTGACCATACAAAACACATCTGGGCATCCAAAGCTGTTATTCTTTGCCTGGATCCCCCAGGCAAATGTATCAGGTCTGATTTGGGGTTATGTTTTGGCGTAATGAGCCAGCTAGGCGTGCACATGTACACATAGATATAGATGTTCGAAAAACGTACTTTCATAAAACACCATGAAACTACTTCTATACAATTACCAATTGCATAGATATATGTTTTTCGCAAGCATGCTCAACGTTGATAAACCACCTTCCATTTGGCCCCATGCTTCGTTCGACCTCGCCCGCGAAGAAGCGATTTCGCGCTGCGTGGCGACCTATCTTCAGCGGACCAGCCATGACCAACCCCACCCCCCAAGGTCTGTCAAACTGCCGCGACTTGAATCTAACAGACCTAAAATGATCTAAAATGATCTGCCTCTCACATCCCTAGGACTTGGATGCAAGATTTACAGGAAACCTCCAATGGCCGCGGCTGTGGCCCCGCGCCCAGGTAGAAATCGAAATGATTGGGCTCTCCATCCTTCCGGGGCCACAGCAATGGGTTGGTTTTTACCATGAAAACAGGGGGGGTCAGAATGTTAAACACACACAAAATGGTCCCAAATATGTGTAAATCCATGTAAATCCCTACTAAACGATGGTTTCTGGGGACTGTTTTTGTTTTTCCCTCGCAGGGGGGTTGGGATTAGTGTTCCCAGCGAGTCCAATTTTATCGAACATGGCCTGAAATGTAGTCGCTATTGGCCACTTAGTCACTAAATCTTGACCCTACTTGACTGTTCTTCGATTGAACTTCAAGATTGACTGTGATGTGTTTGCCCTCTCAGTGGCCACATGCCAAGCCAGCCCACCAGGTCAGTTGTCATGCAATACCCTATCAAGCCTGGATCAATCAACCCAGAGTACTTAATAGAGGTTCGGTTCCCTCGAAAGTGATCAAGTACTACCGGAAACGGCAAGGCCAAATCCAAGCAACTGGAACTTTCTTGATCCTGGGTTGGCATTTCCTATAGACTCTTAGACCCACTGTTCACACTTTTCAGACACATATCGTCCTTTCTATCCTCCCATCATGTCCTCAAAGGAGTTCTTTACCACCTGGTGACTTCTCAAGGGCTGCAGTGGACGATTGTTACCTGGCTCCAGCTGCTCCAGCTGCTCCAGCTGCCAGGGAAGTGTGGGAACATATTTGGGGGTTCCATAAATGGGGTAGCCCACTAGCTGGATGCTTGATAGTAGAAAATCCTTTTAAAAATAGATGATTTGGGCAATTTGGGCCCCCCCCATTTACAGTATAGAAACCCCCATGTTGAGACCATCATACATCCTGAGGTCGTTAAAACATCAAAAAGCTAAGAACATCATTAAATGAGCTGGCTCTTGTTGATGTTCGGACGTTCGGACCCCAAACAAAATCATCAATGTCCGAATGGTTTTGGACCCATCGCACCTTCAAATCTGAAACCCCAGATTTTGAGCATGTAAAAGCATAACTTCAATATATTCATGGTTCAACTTAGTGGAGATATGTGGATATATATATATATACAGTATACAGTATATATTTGCGGAATGTTGCCACAATATACATATATATATATTCATATATATATATATAAGTGTGTATGTCCAAGACATATTATATATATATCACAATGGTGGTATTGTTCATATATATATATATATACATACCAAATATACACAGCAATGGTGGCATGACCATCTCCTAGTGTGGATACGAATAAAACCCCGCCATCTCCGATCAAAAAAACTGTTCCAAGGGGCCAGGGCTGGGGAACATCGCTTTGAAGGTGGCGAACTGGTCCATGGACATACTGAAGGCCTCGTTTGTGGGATTAAACATCTGGGTAGATAATATATTGTGTATATTATATATGATATATATATACGTGTATATATATATATATATGTGTGTGTAAGATTATGTAAGGCTATTCACAAACCTGAATTAAGGCTATTTTACATTATTTTATGATATTTTTGGAGAGTTACCCCCTACTAAACATGAAAGAAGAACACACCAGTGGTCGGCACTGAGGGATGGACGTGGTCGAAGATGAACCTCGCAAAATCCAGCTGTTCTCAGTGGCTTACAAGCGATTCCGAGTCAAGACAGCTGGAAAATGTGATTCATATCCGGTGTATATGTACAACTATGCCTATTGATGATGTTGATGTAATGGCTACAAGATGCTACAAGTATGTTCTTTCCGAAAGGCGTGATTTTACGTGGGTTTTTCAGCGTTTCCGCTTTTCCGAAAGCTCGGTCCCAGAAGCCATTTGTTCATCTCATGACAGTCCGGCGCGGTCGAGCTCCCATAGTAGTAGTAGAAATCGCCTGCCCAGCGACATTTATGGAGATACCTACCATTTGTTTAAGGCTGAGGGGAAGATCCCTAAAGATATGGGACAGTAGCTTGTGGTCCTGAAATTTCCAGTGAATAGTTGATATCTCATGAGATTCTGGGGAACATCTATGGAATCTATGGGATAATACGGGATATGTTACTATAAATGAAACATCTATGAGATAATCACCAATGTGGTGCCACCAACATAGCTAAGTTGGTGAACATAACTTCAATGGGGCAGACATTTTGACTCAACACCGAAGCCGAGATTTTCCCCACGGAGTTGAGTGAAGAATTGCACAATTCGAACCCTGACAGATCCTAACAGCAATCGAATGCCAACCCATTCAACCCCCATAGTAAAACTAGCCAAACATTGATTTATTGGATCTCCCTCTGAGAGATGGCTACAGGCGCCACAGGCGCAACTGGATACAGTACGATTTTTCAAAATCTTGCAGCATGTCGCTGGCCTTCCCAGTGGTGAGACTTGGAGCGCTGGGACCGTCTCAGGTCTGCTGAAATTTCAGCCGTGCATTGTTTCCGTCCCGAATTTGGCGGTGAGATCAGCCCAAAAACGTTGGACACCGTAGATACGTAGTGTGGATTAGATAACGCAGGATAGCGGTGACAAGACATCATCTGCTGATGTACGATATATCCAGGCGCCCCTTGTTGGACGGCTGGGCCCCAAAGAATTTGAGCAAGCTCATCAAAGAAAGTTTAGTCAGCAAACCTCCGAGCTACAGACAAATGTCAATGTGTAGCTTTTCAGCTCACCACTTCAACCACACAGCTAGCATCAGTAGTTGGGAAGTTGATGCGGGTAGTGGAAGCATTAGGTCACGGTATAACATCAGGAGAAAATCAAGCTGTTGGAAGAGTCGGCTACCTGAAGAAGCAGCTCAGAGAAGATTTTGGCTCAGAGAAGAGGTAGGGCTCAGAGAGGGCTTGGCTCAGGGAAGAGGTAGCTCAGAAGAAATAGTTCAGGGAAGAAGTAGCTGAGAAGAGGTCGCTCAAAGAAGAAATAGATCAGAGAACATGTAGCTGACAGAAGACTTGGTGCAGAGAAGACGTATGTAACTCAGAGCTAAGAGAAGAGGTGGTTCGGAGAACAAACATCTCATTCATTCATTTCACTTCACCTGATTTCATTCATTCAAGCGTGTGGTGAGTTCAGAATAGGCAGCTTAGAGAAGAAGTTGCTGAGAGAAGTAGGCCGTCAGACCAGAGTTGGATCAGAGAAGTAGCTCAGTGAAGGGGTCGCTCAAGACGTAGCTCCGAGAAATATGTAGCTGAGAGAAGACGTGGCACCCACAGAACAGGCAACTCAGTTGTTCATTCAGTGATTAACCTACGGCTATGGTATTCATTTTGTCACCAATTCATTCATTCCTGTAGTCATGAAATCATTTATTTCGTTTCGTGTGATTTGATTCATTCAAACCATGCGGTGGCGAGTTCAATGAAGCACTTGTGCACGTGCCATTCAAAAGAGCAGCTTCCTATCCCCCAAATTCTCCACCATGGTACATCATCACAGCATCGTCGCGGGCCATAATCATGTGCCGCAGTCAGTGAACAATCTTCAACAATAGGTACATATAGGTACTGTTGCAGCATAGGACGGAGATCATGCACAAAGTGCTATATACTTGGATTCTACTTGGCTCTCCTTGGGAGAACTCTTGCAACCTCTGGTCTGCTGAGGCGCCGCGGTAAAGATCAACTGTCAGCTGGATGTTGAACGGTTGAAACACCCAGAAACATGAAATTACAATCATATATAATACATGCATGTGTGCATGCAAATGCGTGTATATCAGGTATGAAAAGGCAACGTAGCGTGGTGTATGTAAATGTATGCATGCGCATGTGCCCATGTGTGTGGTTTTGATGTATGTAAATATGTGTAAATTGCATATTGATGTGTGTGTGTGTGTGCGTGTGATGTCTGTCTGTCTGTCTGCCTGCGTGCCTGCCTGCCTGCCTGCTTGCCTGCCTGCCTGCCTGTCTGTCTGTCTGTCGGTACGTACGTACGTACGTACGTACATACGTACGTACGTACGTGGGTACGTGTGTATGTGTGTAGGTCTGTAGGTCTGTAGGTCTGTAGGTCTGTAGGTCTGGAGGTCTGTAGGTCTGTAGGTCTGTAGGTCTGTAGGTATGTAGGTAGGTATGTAGGTAGGTAGGTATGTAGGTAGGTAGGTAGGTATGTAGGTATGTAGGTATGTAGGTAGGTAGGTAGGTATGTAGGTATGTAGGTATGTAGGTATGTAGGTAGGTAGGTAGGTAGGTAGGTATGTAGGTATGTAGGTATGTAGGTATGGAGGTATGCAGGTATGCATGCATGCATGCATGCATGCATGCATGGATGGATGGATGTATGTATGGATGGATGGATGGATGGATGGATGCCATGCATGCATATGTGCAGTGAGCATATGTATGCACAAATATACGTGTGTATATATATATATATTAGAAATGCATAGTATATATATATACATACACAGTATACTATAGTAATTCCAATATGTCTGAATTTCATTGAAAATCAACCACATGCAAGCACAAAGCATTCATAGTTCTACCTCAATACGTTCCTGTTGCCAGAGCTCATGCAGGCTTGCAGCATGGCGCTTCACCACAATTTGTATGCTACACCGTGGTTTAGCGAATGTTAGACCAGGCAAACTGAACACAATCTGCATTTACTCTGACCTAGATTTAACTATTTATTAAGTCATATTAAGTCTCACTTTGCACTTGGAACATTGGCTGCTCAATCTAGAGCTGGCCATCTGCTCATACAAACCGAGGTTGCCAATATCAGCACTGTAGTGCCGGAGATGGCTTCGGACAACCACGTGCTGCACCAGTGGCAAGTACGGCAAGTACCACAAATGCGCCGTGTCCCACCATAATCGAGTACTTATAGTTTAATCTTGCCGCTGGCTCATAGCACTGTCCAAAAACAGATCTTTGCTGCACACTGTGATGTGGTCCATGAACATGAGCAGTGGAAAAATGTGGAAAATGAAATGGAGGCAGTTACATGCAGTTACTGCAAACCAAGGGCGTCTCCGATTGTGCAAGTTTCATTGCCTGTCGATGCCTATCCTTCAATTCTTTCTCATGAGCTACCATGAGATTGGCATAGATTGGCCGTCGGAAGTGTGCATCACCCTTCTTGGGGCTGTGCAAGCTTTGGGTGCCTCGTGGGTGATAACATCTACTGTACATTCTGTGCGTGTTTGAATGACTGTACACTTTGGAATACATGCAAAAACAGTCTAGATTTGGATGTTCTTGGACCTTTTCTTGCCACTTGGCCTTGAAACATTGCAATCATTTCGATGATCGCCAGACCATTTCCTGGAGTTCGGGCAGTTCGGGCTACTGGCGCTGCGGTTTGCATGCGCAAAGGGCCCAGTAAAGTTCCGGAATCATTTCAGCAGCTGTCCCCTGTCTCTCAGCCATGGAAACATCAACCCTATCAGTTCTGTAAATGCGAGTTCCAACGACTCATAATCAACGCTTCAAGGGCAAAATCCCCGCGGTGCCAAAAGATCGCCACAACGTCCCCATCTTTTCTTGGAACCCTGCCTTTCTTGGGGGGAGGCAACCTCCGTATATAAGTTGGGTGAAGAAAATATCATAACTGACACAATTACATGTGGAGATCTCAGGGTATTCCCATGGTTTTCCCCGGGGTTCAGGATCTACAAAATCTCTATAAATGGTGGATGCTCATGGAGTTTCCAGTGGCTACCCGGCTACCCCTGGTTCCATGGCTGAAGTTCCCGTAGAACGCTGGCACTGGGCGTGTCACTAAGAAGTGGTACGCTTGAAATCAGAGCCTGGGAGGACACTGTCAGGAAGATTGCAGGAAGAACAAACCAAAATATAGACATAACTGTGACATAACTGTGTAGTATAGGTGTATTGAAAATATATATAGTATAGGTATACTGAAGTGACATAAATTCCAGCCTGAAGTGACATAAATTCCATGATGCCAGAGTCATCCTGCGTTTTTGATGACTCTGGCATCTTTTTCAAGAGTCGTGATGTTCCACACAAGTTGGCTTTTTGTCCGGCGTTCCCTTGAAAGAGGGTCAGGACATGATCAACAACAACAAATAGAATGACCCCCTACAATTATCATTATTGGTGATGTCTGCAGATGTCTGTAGGATTAGCAGCTGTTATGTTATTGGGAACACAAAGTTTTGGAATGACCATAATCAACTCGGATTGGAAATCTCACTGGTAAAATGTCATGCCTACAATATCTGAACCCATAGCACACTTCAATGATCTGAATATCTTTGAATATCTGTTGGCGGCCGTCGACTTGGGACCTTAACAGCAGCCACATACGACCATCAAGGCATGATATCTATGATGAATCCAAGGGTTGCTGAGCAAGTATTCAATCCAGTTCTTCCAAAGTCACGCGGCGCATTCCTGCATGTTATCTTCATATATCTTCACTGTATCTTCCATCCCCAGCTTGGCAAGTCGAGATCTACCAGCAAGGCCAAGGTATTGCCAAGGCACCATTCTCAGACTCTCCAAGATCAGAGGCGTCCATTGCACTTGGTGTCTTGTTGTGCTTGCCGCCCTGAAGCGAAGCTGAGATTTTTAGGTCCCCCGGTGTGCGATTGCGGCAAGAAACCCTCATGAAGCAAACAGTTTCCTGAAAGCCAAGTTGGAATGCAGAATTTCTGGAGGTCGCCAATCTTTTAACCGGAGGTTTCTTCTGATTGGTGGCCGGTGAAATCCATTGCCCAGACGGATCTGACCTTGTCCTTCTTCTTGGTGGCCCGCACGATGAGTTTCTCCAGACGCGCAAAGCGATCGTCATCGTTTTCTCCCTGGTCTTCCTGCATAAGACAAGCAGGGCCTGGTTGGCCCGCAACAAAGCAATCTGGTTTTCACATGTTTTTACACCTTTCTGCAAAGAAAATGCCAAATGTTCCCCAATGTTGAATCTTAAATACTTAAATCCCTAAACAATCCCATTAAACCCCATCATCCCCAATCTCCCCCTGCGGAGTCCTGAGGCCAGGGTGCGCTGGGTGCCGTTGGGCCTCCATAGCGCTTGATGCTGTCCTGTCAAGGCCAGGGAGATCTTGGAAGAGATTCCATCCTCACCCGGATGAAACACATGGAGATGTTTTTTGTTGGGGGGTGACTTACTCATACTCTGATATCCACTTTGTCATAGGAATTGTTACTATATGTGACTATGCTGATAATGCATCATTGGTGAATTGGAGACTTCCTTGGCGCCCATTGTTGCCCCCAAAGGGACAGGAGCCGCGAGAGGCTCACGATCCCGGAGCCTTCAACCTCATAATTGGCATTGCACTAATGAATGCCATATCATCTTCTCCCAACACATCTCGGACCTTTAAGCAATCCTTAAAACAGGGACAACAAGCACACCAAATCCATCTTTTCTGACCCTTTTGCAACCCTGGGTTTGCCTTAGGGTTCTATCATGTTCTATCCCAATTTCTGGGTACAAACATCCTGCACCAAATAGCCAAAATGCCCCCCCTTGTTGGGTTCCTCTGTGACCATGTTTGCATTAGCAGGCTCCAGCACTTGCATGCCACCAGCCACGCCAACCTTGGGTGGGGCATCAACTGGCGAGGCACCTGCCAGGCTTCATCATATATGTATGTATGTATATATATATATATGTGTGTGTTTTTGTGTATGTATATATGTATATGTATATGTATATGCACATGTATATGTATTTATATATATATATATATATGTGTGTGTGTGTATACCAGTAGTACCCCACAAGGCGGTGGCGGAAGTTTCAAAAATAGGAAACCTATAGGAGGGTTGGTTGTTGTGACCCACGGATGGCAGAGCAAATCCACTGATGGACCGAAAGGTGGTTGGAGTTGTGTTTTCTGGAGTGGTTGCGATGGTTGCAGTGGTCACCTCACCACAACTGCTGAATGTAGTGTGGTGTAGCGCAGTTGTAGTTGTAGGTGTAGTTATAGCTGTAACGTAGCGGAGTTGTAGTTGTAAGTTGTAGCTGTAATGTAGCGTAATGTAATGCAATTAGTGTAGCGTAGTGTTGTGTAATGTAGTGTAGTTGCATTTCTATTTGTAGCTGTAATGTACTGCGGTTTAATTAGCGTATTGTAGTGTAATGTAGTGTAGCTGCAATTGTAGTTGTAGCTGTGGTAGTGGTAGTAGTAGTAGTAGTTGTAGTTGTTGTTGTAGTAGTAGTTGTTGTTGTTGTAGTAGTTGTAGTGTAATTAGTGTAGTGTAGTGTAATTAGATGTAATTAGTGTAGTGTAGTATAATTAGTGTTGTGTAATGCAACAATGTAGCGTAGTATATTTGTACTTGTAGTTGCAGTTGTAGTTGTCTATCTATCTGTCTATTTGCGAGCTTGAAAACGGAGCTATTTCTGCGAGACTTCCTCAGTTTTTGAACTTGACAACATCAAAAACGCAGCAATTCTGCGAGACTTCCTTAATTTTTGAACTTGACAACGTCAAAAACGAAACAATTCTGCGAGACTTCCTCATTTTTCGAAGTTGACAACATCAAAAACGAAGCAATTCTGCGAGACTTCCTTTCAAAAATGGAAAGTTGAGTGCAGAGCTGACGGCCTCGCAACAGTGCCACGAAAAAGCGAGGCCACGTCATACGAAGTGCTGCACTTGTCACGCAAAATCATCTCAGCAAACCTGAAGATCTGATGCTCCAAAATGCAACCCCTCTTAGGAAATCAGCGCCCGGACCTCCTAACATCTCTGATGAACATGTCCCTTGTACTGCACCTGCCACGGAAAATGTATCTTCGCAGATCCTCTTAAAATTTTCCCACGCCTGCCATACAAAGCCCTCACGTTTTGCTCACTTTTGACAAGGTGCATAATCCCTTGCGCCTGCCACGCAAAACGACATCTGAACGTCCAAAAATGCTCCGAACCCGTCAGCTTTTTACACTTTTGACTTCGAAACGTGCTTCGCGCCACAACGGCGTGCACCTTTTCAACATCTCAACTTCCAAAAGTGTTCCGAGCATGGTGTGCTTTGTACATTTTGACTTGAAATGTGCTTCGCGCCACAAGGGCGTGCACTTTTCCGACATCTCAACTTCCAAACGTGCTCCGACACTGAGGTGCTTTATACATTTTGACTTCCAAAGGTGCTTCGCGCCACAACGGCGCGCACTTTTTCGACATCTCAACTTCCAAAAGTGGTCCGAACATGGTGTGCTTTGTACATTTTGACTTGGAAATGTGCTTCGCGCCACAACGGCGTGCAACTCTTCATCTCTCATCTGACCACATGGCTCCGGTCCGCACCTGCCGCTTTAGCGAGCCTACTTTTCGACCCTCCGGAGCCACAAATCATTGGAAGAACACAGTGTTTCGCGACTTTCCTACCTTTTCGCACACCTGCATCTTCTTTCTTCTGACTTTGTTTCTTTCTCTGACTCTTCCCACCTTTGCTTTTCCATCTGTCCATATTGTCCGAAGTTTGACTTCTTAACTTCCTTCGATTATGCACATAAATATAATATATATCTATATAGTATGCACTGCATCTAATATATGTACACACTATATCTATACATACCAACCTACTCAAAGGGGTGCTGAAAGGATTCTGAAAATCTACAAGTTGAAGGGGTCATAACTGGGTAGATCATTAATTAGGAAGGGGTCATGAATGGACACCCCTTAGAACCCATCCTGACATCCAAGGGATGCTGAATGGTGACCCGTTAATCTAAGGAGCACTGAATGGACGCCCCTGTACCGCCCGACATCAGTCGTTTGGGGGATGCCTAGGTGTGAAAGAATCGATATGAATCGATGTACCCTGAAGTGAACCAGGGTAGAACAATTCACGTACTTGATTTTTCATTTATGGCCCCAACAAAAATCCGAAGCTGGCATCATTTTTGACAATTATCTACAATAATTTATAGAATTATCATCCTTGATCATCCAGCTATCACCCCAGCACCGTATCTTGGGCTCCCGGCATCTCCTTCATTGAACTCCAGGGGTTCGTCAAAGCGTAGGTGGCTCAAGAACTTGGACCACCGTTTTCGGCTCACCTGGCACCAAATCCCGGAGCTTTAAGAGATTTACGAATGTTGAAAGATGCTACTACCATGGCATGGCATATAAAATAGTGTTATAGTGTTAGCATGCATGTATATGTATATATACATGTATATGTATGTGTGTGTGGCAAAAACCTAGCAAATGTCTCCAGGTTTTTCCCACAAAGTTTCCCATCCATTCACCTGCTCGATGATATCGGCCGTGACGCCTGCACGATTCCTCGGATCGCGCATCCCGAATGGTGGTGTCTGCAAAGTGGTGCTACCCCCAAAATCATCCAAAATTTCCATGGCATTTCCGTTTTTCAGTCCTGAAATAGCCATGTTTTGGCGGAGCCACATGTTGAGAAATACCTTCTAAATTGATCCTCGCTCTCGCTCTCGCTCTCTCTCTCTCTCTCATCTCTCTCCAAAATGATGGATATTGTTTGGATGGGGAACGTGCTTTTCCCAACCATGAGATGTGAAGCACTCAGACTGGCATATGCCCTACAGATACTTGGGATGTAGATGTGGGGCAAAGCTCAGACAATGGTTATGCTTGGACAATTTTCTTCTTTTTCCTGCTGCGTTTGGCCTATAGCATGGAGACTACCTGAAACAGGGGACCAGCAGCAAGATGATGTCTTGCGACATGACCCAAATGTTGGTACAGCATCCGGCAAACACTGCGTGGCAATTTTGAGCTTCACTGTCCCAAGACATCCCAAGCACCAAAAAATGCCACTGGAACTGGAAATTCATGGTGGCAAAAAAAAACTCGGAACCCGCGTGTTCGCAAAAGCTTCACGAATCAAAAAATCCGACCCAACCAGCGGTCCCAGCAGTCCCAGCAGTCCCAGCAGTCCAGGATCAGTCGTGCGAAGCCTTGCATATCTTCAAAAATGTCGCGATAGGATTGGTTCAGCTGGGCCACCTCGGAGGCTGCGAAACGCGGGAAAAGGATAGTACAGTCACTCCTTTTTTTGGCAACGCACAAAATCAGAGATTCCAGTAAAATCATGTAGAATCCCACTACATTGAATAGAGTAAATATGTTTTCATATGTTTGCTATCTTTTTGGGGGGTTGATTACTATGGTTTATTATGTATGGGTCTGTCTGAAAACGGTAGATACCTCCAAAGGGGCCACCTTTGGAGAAGCCAAGCTGCCAGAAGATTTACCAGGAAAATGCTCAGCACCTTAGCGGGATGTCACTTTCTTTAGGGGATGCGAATAAGGAGCCCGAAGCTCTATAGTTGGACCAATCATCTTCCCCAACCCCCCACTTTGGAACTCAAGAAGGTCAATGATTTGCCATATAAATGAACCGAATGACAAACTATTTCATGCAAAGAAACAGAGGGTGTGCCACTTCACTCTCAGCGCCCAGATACAATTGAATGTTCTTACTATTGTAAATAGTAATATGTCATTATCATTACTTACTATCATCTTTAATTGTTATCATTATAAAAGCAAAAAATGTGTTTGTTGATATGTATATATATATACCACATATTCACTATCACTAATTATCATATATATATATATATATTATCACTATTTTTACTGTACATATATATATATATATATATCATGAATCTTATCACTATTATTACTCTGTTCTGCTGTGTTTGTTGTGTCCCATTTTCACCCAGTGACGGCGACGAAAACGGAGACCGCAATGAGCACCGGGATGTCGCTCCTGAAATCTTCGTACTTGCTCGGTGGGAACATTCCCAAGGTAATCTGCCTGGCTGAGGCGCTGAAAACATCTGAAATGACGAAAAGAAGAACAGCGGAACTGGGGAATGGTTGGATTTAGGAAGGCCACCGAGTGCACTCCGCTATTTCTTGGTATTTCTAGCCATTTGATTTATCTTGCCAAGTGGGTCTACATTAGCAATCAATGACCAAAGATGACCAAAGTCTACATCCGAGGTGCAACAAACCTGTGAGCCACGGGCCCACACCATCGAATCCTTCCACATGGTGATTCAATGAGCCTGGGCAGCACTTAAAGGCTGGTGTAGCAACTGGAAGCAGGTCACACCAGGCGAAGTTGCAAAGTTTAAGCACTCTTCAACCACATCTTCCTGGCAACAATTTGCATAAATAGAAACCAATTGAGCATCCAACATATATCAAACGAGATGAGCATGGTGAAATTCTGTGGCTTGCACGTGCCGACGTTTTTGGTCTCCCAAGGGGCTGATGGCCGTGGCAAACATCAAAATCAGGAAGACCAAAGCCAAGGAAAAGAGCCCCACATCCGCCAAGACATTCCCACAGACCTCGGGTTTTTTACGAGGGGCCAGGTGTGGCAGGACAGAGGGTGGAGATCAAACACAACTTACTTGTAAGACTATAAAATTCCAGCAACAGATTGCAGTCCGATACGATGACCCCATGGGTTTTTGGCCCAGTGCCATGGGACCAGAACAAAGGCTGAGATCCTCATGCTCAGCAAAGTGAAGTCCATCAGCAAGGCCCAGTAGATCAGCATGGCAATGCCTGAGGGAACTGCAACAAAATGGTGGCAATAGAAAAATAATTCTGGATGATTTGGGATAATTATCCCAGATTTAGGAGAAGCCTCCAAATCCTAGTGAACACATATTAGATCGCGTAAAAAATGGGGGGCCTGCGACTACTGCGGAAGCGTTTATCATCCCTTTTCCTTGGATGATCTTGGATGACATGTGGGCTCCCTGAGCTCTTAGGAGCTCGCCCCTATCTCCAAGATTTGGCCCAAACAAAGATCAAGGAGCAACCTGGGGATCCTGGGGCTGCAAAGCTAGGCAAACTAAGGAGGCCAACCCGGCCAACGCTGCGGGGCATCGCCATGCCACCAGGTCACATGAGAAGACCGTATATGGGGTCATCACATCTAGGGCCTCTGGACCTGAGCAGGTCGACCCATGTCGACCCTAGTCTGGTGCTGTCCGAGGGCTGTTGGCTGGGTTTTTTTTTGGGGATTCCCATGTGTGTACCAGAGATCTCTGGAATAAAAATGACGAACAGGTGAAGATTTAGCTTGACCTCCACCCCACTTGTAGCATCTTGTAGCCAGATCACAGGGATAATCACATTTTCGGGACTGGCCTCAAATTAACCTTCATAGAAAATAAGGGGACGTCGGACAGCCCAAGCACTAATCGCTATGATATTCATCCCTGATCAAGCCTTGTCTCCACCAAATGTGTGTGTGTGTGTCATGGTGTGTCTGAAAATAAGGTATACCTAAACCTACCGGTAACTTACTCATACGTGCATTTTTTGGAGTGGATACCCCATTTTCAGACAAACACATTTTATACTCACCACAGGCTATCCAACAGGACGGGAAATAAGCCGAGGGGCAGGTGGTGGTAAAAATGATGGCTTTGTCCCCTCCAGTCTGCGCATAGGAGATACACCACAGGATGGGCTCCTGCGCGTACCTCGGTCGCTTGCTGGTCCACAAGACCTGAAGATACCTGGACTGAAGTCTCTCCATTTGGCATCCCTACTGATGGCCCATGATGCCATTTTTCCCGACATTCTTGGGTCCAAGTCACATGAGGATCAGCAACAGCACTAGGAGAGCGCTTCCAGCCTCAGTTTCTCGGCCAGGCGGCTTGCGACTGGCAACTCGGATCCCCATCTCAACCGCACCTGTTGTGTGCTGTGGAGGTAGTTGGGCACCGGGACGACCCAGTACCACTGATAGTCACCCGCCTGGACGGTGGAAACCCTGCCCTGCAGCCAGTACTCGGATCCAATGGGCTAAATGCTTGAAGTAAAAAGTCAATAGAATGAATTTCTATTCTCTTTCCATCTCAATCCTATGTATATTTCGTACGTATGTACACGCAATATGTATATATATATATGCCTATATGTATATATCCCTCCAGGTGCATTTTATACTACCTCTATCTATTTATCCATGGATGGATCCATCCATCCACCTATCCTCTCCTTGAAGGCACTACAGGCCAGCTTGCATTGGTCAAACAGAAGCTTGCTCATGCTTCCTTGGGTCAGGGTCATCACTTTGATCATGACTGCTGAACAAGACTAGTATGACTAGTACTAGCAATGAGACTTTGACATGCGGCTGCAACATGCCTCGATTTGTTTTAAGATGGTGGATCTTTACTGGCAACGTTTTGAACAATGGTGGATCATCCATTGTTGAACTGGGTACAGTATATGAATGTGTTTAACATTTCGAAGATAGCCGCTAAGAGGCCCAAGTAGAGAAAGCAGCGGCAAACGAAGGTCAGGATGTTGCGCCACAGCCTTTCTTCCTGGGTAGATACGAGACGCCAGAGTTGAGTTCGAAAATTTAGAAGGGTATCTTCATGATATTTATATCTATATCTACATCTACAACCTATACACACACATATATGTATATATATAATTATATATAATGTGTCTGAGCCTGTGTGCCATCTCTACATATAGATACACATATACTCATGTATATATATATACATACCATATGTGTGTGTGCGTGCGTGTGTGTGAGTGTGTGCGTACCAATGCATCGACCAAGAGCACATGCTCGTGTATCTCTCTACACAGTTATTGTTAGAAGCAATTGTTGACAAATTTGGAAGTACCGACAGCCTCCGCGATTCAGCGTTTCCTTGACTCTACAGGTTCGATTGCCATCACTTTCACAAAAGCACTTATATAACATGTTACTGCATCACTTCTTGCTGAAAGTACTTAGATTCAGCTAGATAGGGTCCCAACCATTAAGAATATAGACATTCAGAAGAAGTCAGAAGAGACATAGATATTGTTACCATTACAATCATATATATATATATAACCATCATAACCATTACGCACATTTTAACCATTATAATCATAACATATTATAACCATTATAACAACCATTATTACAGTATTATCATAACCATTCTATAATTAGATACCATCTGAATCACAGCTTGATCCAAAAAAGCCCCGCCCAGCATGAGCCCAGCGTGATCCAAGCTGCCCCAGGGACCAGGAAGGACTGGCTGGTAATGAAGACCAGGAGAGTGAAGAGGAAATAGCCTGCTGCATCTGCCGCATCTGAGGGGTTACCTTACAGGTTACTTGGGCATCTTGGGCTCAGGAGGTTGTTTGAAATGTGGGAACATGAGGAAAATCCATGTAAATGTTGCTGAATGTCGATGATTGAAACTGAGAAACAATATTAGTGCAATTCAAATCAAGATGATATAAAGTATATAATATAATATAATATATAAATAAAATAATATAAAGAGTTATAAAGTAGGCATGTTAAAGTACTAGATCAAGAGATATGTCAATACATGCCACGAAGTTGTTGCCACCCTGGTCTGCGGCCTCGACCGAGCAAGAACCTGAGCCCAAGTCTCACCATAAAGGCGCTGGATACCACCACGTTTACACTATGAGTCCACAACACAATGTGTATGTATATTTTAAATATATATATATATATCTATCTATCTGTGTGTGATTATTTATATATATATATGTATATGCAGCATGCACCCTATCTTCGGATATGTATATAATTTAGATACCTCCACTTGGATATTTGGAGAAAATTGGATCTGGGTATTGTATTAGAATATTGACATAGCTCCACTCATGTGGATATGCATCTACACCCACCTGGACTAAGATGACTAAGGCCATGCATGGCCATTAGTTCGATCCCAGGAACTGATAGGAAGCGACCCGGTTCCACAGCAAATCTGCAAAGGTCATCACCACGCCATGGCTCACCAGCCGTGGGTCCTTGTGGTGAGCCAACCACTTCAGGGCTGGGCTGAAGTTACCTTCCAAGTCCTGCACCAAATGCCTCGGTTGCCGATTGCTGGCAGACCGACCTAATTATTGAAAAATAACCGACCGGACCTAAAACGGCCATGTTCCATGGCCATGGTATAAATTACCAGAGGGTATGCTGAAGGTGTAGGTCGAAGAGCGCAGTGGCACCTGAAAAGCCTTCGGAAGACCTTTCGTATCCTTCCGTCAGCTTTCTACAAATACCAGTTATATCAATTTCTTCAAGGTTTTCTGACCGGCCTGCGACCTAGGGCAACACCTAGCGGACAACAAACGCCATGGTCCACCAGCAAAGTCAGACGTAAGGCCCACCTTCCAGCTGTGGATTCATGATTTTCCATCGGGTATTCGATTCAGATCACAATTTGATCACATATGATGTTGATAGCAACCCCCAAAAGATATACAGTATATATACAGTATATAAAAGTTGCTTTCAGCCAGAAATATATAGAAATAATTAGAAATATATGGGATCCCGGAAACGAAATGGAAACGATCTTTTTGGGCATGAAACACATCCGTAAAAAAAAACGCATCGCCAAAATCTCCTGTTGGTCCCTTGAGGAACCATGCCATGTTGCTTGATGTAGTAATTCACCCGACGTTGGCCATCTTGCACCAGCCGAGACCTGCCCCATTTTGGGGGGGCAGAACTGCTTGGATTTACGGATCCTTTTTGGCTACGGGTCAATAGCTGCAAGATTCCGAACTAGAAATACCTTTTTAGTATTTGTTAGTCCTGGTTTCCGGATGAACATCCATGTATACCAGTTTATTTTGATGTTGACCAGGGCTACAGGGTTTGGATCTATCCCCAATTAAAAAAACTGGTGAACAATCAGGCCTATGTATATAGATGGCCTCGGTTTCCCGAGCTGCATATCTTCGCATGCCATGAAGAAACAGCCTGGTTACAGTAAGAGAAAGCAGCCATGTGATTTCGGTGGTTCACCCAGGAATCGTAAGTGGATTATAAACGCAGTTGTAAGATGTGGTAAGTATATAGGGTTTTTAGTGGGGTTAGTCAGTCGGTCAGTTGCTTAGTCAGTCCAAGTATAACTGGGCTTTCTGACCCACTAATGGGGATGAATCACCGAGATGTCCTGCAATGTTACTTTATGCCTGGCCAATAGAAGTCCACGTAGGCTGAGGACAGCAGCACATGGTTCGAAACATATCTTCCGCGCTCTTTCATCAGACAAGGCCTCCAAACGAGCCCATCGAACAAGGTCCACAGCAGTGTTGACGCATCGTTGCACAATCGCAAGATCAAGTCTGGATGCCGAGTGAACATGGCATCCTGAGACAATGCCCAAAGTCTGGGATGGCGATGTGGCATGTGGCACCATTGATCTACTGCACTCTAGAAGCACTTACTACCAGCAGAAGCCCAAGAATTACCTTTCAAACAGGATCGCCTTCGGATTCCAGCCACCATCAGCCACCAAGTTGTGGCGTCTGAACCCCGTGCTGAGCAGGCCAAGCTTCGCAACCATAGTAGTAGACGTCACGATCCGCACGGATCGTCAGTAAATCCACGATCATGGCCCTGGCACTGTTCAAGCTGCCACTCTCAATGGACCAAAAGAGAGGAGAGATGGACTGCGTACCTCAGATCACGACCGACCCCATTTTATGATATTTTATGTCAGCAAGATTACCTGGTTGTACCTTGGCAAATCTGGTTCTATATTATAATTATAATGTATACGGGTTGGTGGTTTTAACCATCCTGAAAAAAATTAGTCAATGGGAAGGATTATCACATATATTATGGAAAATAAAAAATGTTTGAAACCACCAACCAGATATTTTTTAGGCAAATCATCAGAAAATGGTCTACAAATATCTACACCACTTTTCGCATAATGGATTTCTCGTTGCCGCGGCCACGTGAGCCACGTGACCTACGGAGATGTTCAACAACTCCATGGCGCGCTTGCCGCGCGGAGCGATGGCAATGGCTTTCTTCATGGCGCTCTCCTGACGTGAGACCAAGCATCAGCCGCTGGTGAGACTAAATTGGAAGCCAGAAGCCCAACAAAAAAACTGAGAATCCAAAAATATCCAGCAGTAATCAGAAGTAGCTTCAAGTGAAAATCATTAAAAAAAACCGAAGTCGCTTCAAGTGCAAATCAAAAAAACAAGAGTCCCTTCAAGTGAAAAACCAAACATAGGCAAAAGTGAACATGTTAAGAAAAGAAAAAGAAAATATCTGCAAGAATGTGCAAATCTAGATCCCAGAATATCTCAAGGTGGGTCAACTTATAGTGCTGCCAAGAATATGTAGTTTCTTATTCATTTAAGGTGCTAAAGATTGACATGTCGCAAAACTTAGATTGGGGGTTGTCTGAAAATAAAGTCCGCTAAAACATGCTGTATCCCATGATATCCCATTGTATGTCATGGTTTTTATGAAATCCCCATCGAATCCCACCTGATTGGTGTTGATGGCCCGCATCACCAGGGTCGAACCTTCAGAAACGGCTCGCACCTGAGGAAATCGTCCGAACCACTCTGATGGTATCAACATGTATCAACCATGAACGACAAATATATGATGAAGTCAATGACTGGTTGGTGGTTTCAACCCCTCTGAAAAATATGAGTTCGTCAGTTGGGGTTACTATTCCCAATAGATGGAAAGTCATAAAAGCCATGTTCCAAATGTTCCAAACCACCAACCAGTCGATGATATTTCAACATCTCTTGTTCTCCTGTGTTTCCGATTTTTCTCCGGATGTTTCCTCTAGTCCCAGAAATGGATGATGGGAAAAAATCTGCAGCAAATCCCTGTTTTTGGCAGGATAGAACCATGGTTTCCTCTAGGTTTTTCCTTTACCATTTGGTTATGACTAACATAGCCATGGAAAATCACCATCTTTAATAGGTAAACCATCTATCAATGGGCCATCTATACCATGGCTATGTCAAATAACCAAAGGGTAAATCAATCCATTGATCTAGATCAACCCCTGGCCCCCGTGGCCAGACGCCAAGACGCCAGAATCTTGGCGATCAGTGACAGTGAGAAGCGGAAGGCCGATTGCGTGTTGTCGTCCGTGGTCCTTCTGGCTGCAAACATCACCCTTCCCAAACAACAGACAGCTGTTATAATGGATGTTTGAAATTTGATTTTAAAAAATTGGACACCTGGAATGAATCCGAGAAAAAAAGAACAACATATATAAAATATGATATATATAATATATATATATATATATCAAAATATAACATCCTGAGGAGGATGAAAAACAAAAAAGACGCTCAATCTCTTGGAACCCTTGCAGTAGATTAGGATATATAATCTTCATCAGTCCAGACTGAAATTCCACATGTATTCAATGTTTGAAAAATCACCAGCCGGTAGAACACGGGGCCGCAACAGGCTTGTATGCCAATCACTTCTCGCAATCGGTGCGACTCCAGAGGGTTATTCAAATGTGTCCTTGTAGCTGGCTGGCAAATAGGTCATAAAGACAAACCCTATTTAATCGAAGAGCACTTTCCCACGACCACGACCTAGTAATTCATACCTAACACATACCCTCCGGTAAACTAACATAGCTATGGAAAATCACCATTTTCAATGGTTAAATCCACTATAAATGGCCATTTTCAATAGATATGTTAGTTTACCAGAGGGTAGGATTTTCCACACATTTCTCTACATGCTTGTCTTTTTTGGGGTTCCTTGTGGTTGCTTTACCAACATTTTTACGGTACCAGCAAGGGAAAGCCCTTCCCAAACTGCTGCCCAGGACACATGGACCGAACGCTCTCCACGGCTCCGGAGGTGTAGGGCCCGAAGAGCTCGGGTGGAATGCCCCAACCCACCTGTGAGAAGCCCATCCCACAAAATGTGTATAGGTTGATGCATGTTGATATATGTTGATGCTACCCTCCAGCAAATTCACATAGAACCTCTGATAACCTCTGGCTTATTTTATCTTATTTTCAGGGTCTGTGTCAATTTTAGCGGTACTTGGACTGCAAACAAACATTGCTTTTACATTCCTGTGGTCAAACACGGGTACTCCCATAATTAGATGGTTCATACTAAACATGAATCCTAAAATCTCTGGTTCTCATGGGGGCTTCATTTTTTGATTCATCCCCAGATGCTCCCTGCTCCCTGGGATGCTGAGGCACATGGCGCAAGCCCAGGCCACTAATCTCCTGAACCATCTTCCGGGGCTCGCGGAACATCTCCACGGTCATTTCCACCACGCGATCCGCCAGGAAGTACCTGGAAAACAGTGGAACTGGATGGAACTCGATGGAACTCATGGATATTCATTTGGCAGTGTGTCAAAACCTTGTACCCCTGGTGAACATCAAAATAGCTGGTAAATGGATGTTCATTCCCCTAAAAATGGTATTAATAGGTATTGATCCATAGCCATTTGGGTATGGGTGAAACTGGGTGAAACTTGGGCACCCCAATCATTGGTGAAAATACCATGGGAAATGCATGGAAAATAGCAAAAGTCGACTTAAATCTGTGGTACTCCAGGGCTTAAATTTTGACCAATACCCATTTGAAGTCCAGCTGTAACAGGAGAAGTTGAGGAAAACTTGGCAACCTACAGTTGTGAGCCAAATTCAGTATATTTAGCTGGGCAGCCACTCAAATTGATTGAGTCAGGGCAAAATAGATTTAAAAATATGATCCAAAATATGGTTTCGAAATGTTTCGAACAAGCAGTCTCAGGGTTTTTTGTTGTTATTTTCTTGCTTCAATCAAGCCTGGGAACCAGGGGATGGCAAGGGGCCGTCCCAAAATTTCTTTCATGGTAGGTGTTCCAATCACATGCCTTTAACATCCTTTAACCTATTCTGTTGTACTGCACTAAGCTCTAGTTTTGGGATGCTTGTGTCGAAAATGCAAATGCGCTCGCTTCGGGCCCTCAACATTGTTCCTGCCCAAGGCACAGGCGCGTAGAGGATTGCTTGAAGAAGTCTTGCCCCGAGGGAGCCAAGGCGAAGAAGCGCTTGTAGAGCTCCTATTGGAGATGGGCATCACCAAAGCTGACGCGAAGGATGGTGGTTTTGAAACAACATCACCCAACCCCTTGGGAGGAATTCTTTCAATGAGGTATCTAAAGATATCTAAAATAGCTGGCTTTCGATAGCTTCAAAATCCCGAGTCCCTCACCACACCCCGCGCCATCGGCAGCTTCCCGCAGGCCTTGCGGAAGAACATGGCCTGTTCTTCAGACCAACTGGCTATGAAGTGGGTCAACGCACGTTCCAACGACTTGGGCTTTCCCAACTGGCCCTGGCAGAGGGAAGTCGCTGGCCCTTGGTTGCATCTCTGACCTTCAAATCTCTTTAACCCCTTCATGGTTTCGTATTCTTATGATTTTCTATATGGAATTACTTCTCTCTCATCATTGTGAGCCCTCACACTTGGAAATTCCCAAGGTCCTTCAAAATGCGCTCCACGTTCTCCCACAACCAGTTCCATGCCACTTCATGCTCCGTGTCCCAATCCTTCGGTGCCAGTGACCTGCCGCCGGTTTTTCGAAGCCGGGTGACAGGGATGATCCATTTTCGGACATCCGGGGGCGGGGGCGGATGTTGTGTTCTTTTTGGCTCCATGTTGGCTCATTTTCGCTTCCTTTTTTATCAGAATCTCTCAAGGCCCGATTTTCTGGAAATGCTGCTCACGATGTTCATAATTCTTTATCCGCCAACATGAATTGTCGTCAATGTTTGCCGGTTGTTATATATATAGTATTGGGCCATGATGGGCCATGCAATCTGCCAGCTGATGTCTGATGCCAGCCTCAAAGTGGCAAGCATCACGGCCCGAAAATCTGACAACGCTATGGGCTCTGTGTTCTTGGACAGGACAAGGACCAGAACATCGCACTCTTCCTGGTGGATGAAAGCTGGGCAATTCTGTAAATCCAAGGTCATACCCTGCCCCTAACTTTACGGCCAGGCGCTGTGTGTTGCCCGGAAGGTTCAAATAGCGTTTAAACATGTTTAAACATTATCCTTCAACATGCTCAAACACCTGCGCACGGCCAGTGTTTTGAGATTTCCCAGACGACGAACCCTAAACCCTAAAACCCTAAACCATCCTACTAAACCCTAAAACCCCAAACCCTAAAACCCGAGCCCCTAAAACCTAGGCTCTATCCTAAACTGTAAAACATATGCTGTATTTTCTGCAATCTCTCCTATCATATATTCGACAGCACGACATTCTCAATGTTAATGTCTGGGCAACACACGGCGTCTGTGGGTAACTTTAGGATTCATCTGAGAGGTTTTCCAAAACTTGAAAAATTGGGGAGTCGTCATGGGGTCATGGATCAAAATTGGAATATTGGGCTGTTTAGACAACAATTGACAAACGTCTCTGGCTAGCCCGAATTTTTGACTCATATCCATCTGGAGGGTGCTACAACTATTCAATTTGTGAGAGGCAAACCTCGACCTAATTCAGTAACCACGGCCACCCAGGGGTCACGATTTTCTTCATTCCGCGCTGACGTGCGGCTTCACGTGGCGCTCCTGATACCATTGTTCAGAAAGCAACTTTTCCAACTGTAGTGCGTGTCAGGTCTGGACAGAACTGCGGCTTCAGTGCGGAAACTCCTTTGAGAGAGTCCAGGCAGCCCAGTGACTTGTTGTTTAGAATGAACATCTGCTTGTTGGAGATAATCACGTAGTCGTACAGTCCATCCATCTATCCATCCATCCATCTACTTATCTGATCTGATCTCATCTCATCTCTATAATCCAATCTCATCTCATTTTTGGAAATCGCAGGAAAATGCCATGAGTTGGATGAGTACAGTGTTCACTTTGGTAATTTTTCACATGGAAAATCCCCGTGTAGATGACTTTACCCTTAAGACCTCCAGCCATTGTTCGGCATTTCCCACCCACCATGTTGGATGAAACGAAGGATACCTGCCACCAGCCTTTGTCTCTGGGCCCCCCGTTCGCATCGTGCGAACACTTGCTGTGCGCAGTTCCATCTGTGGTTTCAAACAGCATCGTTTGGTCTGAAAATTGTCCGGGTGTTCGGCAAACACACAATTCCATCCACTGGTTTTATCATCATGTTCCCAACCACAGATTTGCCATTGAAGGTCAATATTAGTCCTAAATGTTCATCCATAAAATCCAGTCAAATGGCCATATGTATATATTATATATCCATATGTCATCTATTGGGAGTATGTTTTGCCCCATTTTCAGACAAACCTCATTTTTAAGGCAAGTTCGGCCACTGCCACGGCCGTTCCCAAGGCAGTGTTTTTCTCTAGCGAAGACCCTCCCAGGTTTGATGACCCGTAGGACCTCAGTGGGAAAGGATCGACCCCATGGGAAGGTGACAATCCATGAAAATCCCCATGAACCATTTTTCGGATTTGTTTATGATGTTTTATTAAGTTTTATGATGTTTATGATGTTTTATGATGTTTTATTAAGTCCCCTGGATTGTCGTTTGTTAAGTTGACACGTCGTCAACTTCGTTCCATTCTCATTTTTTTGTGTCAAAATTTGCCCAAAATCTATGCCTCACAGGTGCTTTTTCTTTTGGCCCCTCCCTGTCCCATGAAATGTGACTTACCCTCTGGTAAATTAACATAGACCCTGAAAATAGCCTAGTTTTAATGGAAATTAATCTTCCAACCTCTATCTGCCAGGGTCTATGTTAATTCAAATGTGACTTAGCTGGTTGAACAGGCTTGAACAGATGAAGCTGCGAGTTTTTTCCGAAAAAACTGGCTATCATCTGGGCGATGGTCTCAGTAGATGCGCGGCTTCCCATTACTTTCACTTACCCAAGCCCAAGCAGCTACTATAAAGTTTGGGTTGATTAGGGGATTATATCATGTTATATAGTTATATAAATAGTTCATGGGGATTATAGACCAACAATACCAATTATATACTTGGCTATAAATAGGAATATATATATATATATATAAATACCCATGCTCCTCGGCTCGCTGGTATCCACTTGATGGGGTTTATCAGTCCTAGTCCTAGGCCAGGAAGGCTTAAATTCGTCAAAACCAGCCTCTACAAGCTACAAACCAAACCACATCAAACATCATCAAACCACCATCTATAGATGTGTTCCTTGTAATTCATCCATGGTAATCAATCATGTCATGGATATCAAACCCCCCCAGTTATGTGTGTTGGTCTATAATCCCCATGAACTATAGATACAGTATATCACATGATATAACCCCCTAATCAACCCAAACTTTATTGGACTTATAAACCAACTTGGCGAACTACGAATGGGGGTACGAATCGCACTAAATGGTTTTTACATGTTTTTACCGTTGTACCCCGAGTCATAATAGTTCTAATTATATGTGGAACATATTGGGACATTGTGGAACACCCCTACTTCCATACAGGGATGAAATATGGCGGCCCGATAAATGGACCAAGTGGATCCAAGTGGCCCATCTCGACCTTTTGGTGATCTGCCTGCGCCTGTGCGCTTTGGTCCGTATAGCGCCTCCGCTTCCGAGAACGCAGGAAGCGCTTTTGGCACAACTCGAAAGGCCCCAAACTTCCCAAAGGACGCATGGGATTGTGTGGATTTTAGTGGGATTTAAGCATCAACTATTGGATTTTCATGGGATTTCACGGTAATTATTTGCCTTCCGGTTTTATCGGTTTTGCTATCGAAAATCCGCCCACACCGCTTTGGCGGTGAAGGCGTGCTTATTGGGGGGCAACAGCAACACTAAATGCTCAATGACATTTGTTAATATAGCAGTCGCTATATCAGCTTTAGCTGGGGGGGGGGGGCAAAAACGGTTTCGCACCGAGACCAGAATACGGTGGTGTTTTCGACATTTTTCGAGGATTTTTGGGTGTCTGAGCGCAAGAGGGTATTGAAATGGAATTTTGGGTCATTTTGGTAGCTTTCCGGCAATGGAAAAACGGCCAAAAATGAAAAAAACATTGTACATAGCAAGATTTTGCAGGGTTTTTGGATGCCAGAGCATTGAAAACACTGCAAAAACAAGTGTTTTGGACTGACGTTATGGCAAAAAACGTGTAAATTACCGTCTGTTTGACTGGAAACATTGGAAAAATACTGTCAAAAACAATGTTTTGGAAGGATTTCTTATATATATGTTGGAGTTGGCTACCGGCATTGGCACATGGAAAAATTGAAGAAAACACTGTAAATAGCGGTATTTTCAACGGTTGGGGAGATAAGGGAATTGGAAGTGCTGTGTTCAGAGTACATAACATGCATTCCAACCCCCATTTTCCATGTCAATTCAGACTCAGCTGTTTTCATTTGCGGCTGTCACCGAAGCTGCTTTTGATTCAAGCCCAACCGCTGCCGACATGCAGCTATAGCGACCTGAAAAAGACCAACAAGCAGGTGCGATTTCTTGGTGGTGGGGTTTGAGAAGATCAAGGATCTGGGAACCTACAACAGTAGGTTATGAGCCCAACGTGCCACAGTTGCTCCAGATGCTGATGCAGCGAAGACGGGCTACACCAGAAGAACTAGCTCAAGGAGAAGATGAAATCCGACGAGCCAACCAACATATGGAGGCAGAGCTGGCCAGTGGAGCTGAGCCGCAGTTAGAAAACAAAGAAAGGTCTGAGGCAGAGGTTTTTGAGTCCCCCGGAAATCCAAAGGATAAAAGTCTGGGAAGTGAGGAGAAGCCAAAAAGTGCCCCGAAATCTCTCTTTCCTCCTGGTGCAGAAAAGGCATCACAGGAGTCAGCTGCGAAGTCGTCAGGTTCAGCGAAGTCAGTTCCTGCCACACCAAGGAAAACTCAGGTATCGCCATCAGAACGTTCCGAACTGCAGCAGAACCCTCAGTCTGCCCCAGGTTCAAATCAAGCGGTTGTTTTGGCATCCACCGAAGTTGTCAAGACTCCTGAGACCTCTGCGGCAATGGTGGTATCGAACGTGCAAGGCATGTCAAATGGACCTCAGTATGCGGAAAATGATTCTGGGCGAGCGCATCAAGTTGTTTCTGTGGAAGCCACACCTGCTGCCCAATCCAATGTTTCTTCAGTTCCTCTTTTTGATGAAAGCCAGATTCGAAGATTCCAGGAAATCTACAACCAAGCACCTTGGCTCTATCCAGGGAATCAGCTGTTGGGACCACCCGCAATGGTGCCACAACCGATAGCAAGACCCTTGTTTTTGGAGCAAGATGAGCGTAGAGTCCATGGAGTTGGGATGGTTGGGGATCAAGCTTCATACCTGTTTCCATACATGCCTCAACCTGGTCCCTCTGAACATGCTGAACTTAGAAGGGAATTGGAAAGAATCATGGAAGAAAATCAAAAATTGAGGGCTAGAATCGAAACGTTGGAAAGCATGCGAGTAGATGATGATCAGAAGTTTTCCACCCCGGAAGAACCCAAAAAGGAGGCTGCAGACCCCCACTCAAAGGAGGTTGCAGGCTCACCCTCAAAGGAGGCTGTAGACCCCCACTCAAAGGAGGTTGCAGGCTCACCCTCAAAGGAGGCTGTAGACCCCCACTCAAAGGAGGTTGCAGGCTCACCCTCAAAGGAGGCTGCAGACCCCCACTTTAAGGAGGCTGTGAGACCACCAAAGACCGAAGCTCAGGATCCACGAAGTTTCAAAGCTGAGGAGGCTGTGAGACCCCCAAAGCATGAAGCCGAAGATTCGAGGAGCTCTCAACCAAAGGAGGCTGCAGACCCCCAAAGTCAAAGACCCAAGGATGATGGAAGTGGAGCCAATACCACTTTCACTGAGCGATCTTTGGAGTTCATGGCACTCATGATGGACTCCATGAAGGAGATGCACAAGCGCCTCAACGAGCCAAAGGACGAAGGCGTGATCGAAGGAGTTGAAACGGTGAGGTCTGGAGCTCCAGATCTCCCCTTGCTGGCTCCGTGGGAGCCCCAACAAGGACCCTTGATCCTTGGAGACTGGCTGTTGATCATCGAGCCCATCATCTCAGACCTCTCAACGTCTGCGAGCGTGTGGTGGAAGACATCGGTGTCAGCAGCTGAAGCCTGGTACAAGGTGCACATGGCCCTGTCTCCTCTGGACAGGATTCAACACAAGGTTGAGACACCTGAAGAAGTGCTTCAACAAAAATGGGAAAGGTTAGAAAGAAGGGTTGCGACTATGCTTCTTCAAGCCCTTCCACAAGAAGTTCGTGGTGAATTGGTGGCTGCTAGAAGGCTCACCACCTTTGGTGTCATCACGCACTTGCTGGTGACATACAGCCCTGGCGGAATCTCTGAGAAACAGAACTTGCTCCGGAACCTTGAAGACCCTCCGGAGATTCAAACTGTTCAAGATGGTCCAGCAGCTCTACGACGATGGCTCCGCTGGCGACACCGAGCTAAAGATATCGGGGCGGTAGCTCCTGATCCGAGTCTTCAACTTCGAGGACTCTTGAAGATGTCAAAGAAGACCCTTGAAGCGCACCGAGAACTTCAGTTTCGTGTGAGCCTTGTGAGGAGTGGTTTACAAGTGGACACGGTTCCCAACGACACCAATGTGGAGCAGTTCGCATACCACCTCCTTGCTGAATATGAGCAGCTCTCGATCTCTGAAAAGCGCCCTGGGGGAAATGCAACTACATCCAAGCAGGATGCCACAAAAGCCAAACAGAATGAAGTCGAAAAGCCGAAGGCTGCGAAGCTTCGAAAGTTGGAGGAGGATGCAAGGTCCCCCACAAAGAGAAGCGAAGAAGGAGAGACAAGAGGAAAGTGCAAGTTCTACCTTTCTGATCAAGGATGCAGAAGGGGAAAGGCTTGTCAATGGTCTCATGACCAAAAAGATGAAAAGAGAAGATGTTGGAATTGCGGGAGTCCAGAACACATGTCTCCTGCGTGCCCAAGACCGAAAGAAAGAGGAGAGTCCTCACCGCAGAAGCCAAAGGTTCAGAAGGTTGAGGGGGAGGACACTTCGTCAACAAGCTCAAAGTTGAAGGAAGATGAAGGGACTGAAGGTCCAACCATGAAAGAACTGCTGGAACAGGCCAACACTATGTTGAAGTCCTTGACCACTTCCAGTGCGACTTCTCCCAAAGCCAATCTGGTGGGGAATCAAAAGAGGAGATGATGGATCGTCTTCAACAACAACTGGATCGAATGAAGCTCAAAGGCCTCAAGATCAACCAGATCAACTACGGCAGCCAACAGGGATTGGTTGACTCAGGTGCCACACACCCATTGCGTCCGATGCGTCTGGGTGAATCCAAGAACGACTACAAGAAGGTCTCTGTGACCCTTGCCAACGGTGAGAGCACTGCCCTTCAAGTTACTCCAGGTGGTGTGATGGTCTCCGAGCGCAAAGATGTCGAGCCTATCATCCCCATGGGTATGCTGGTGCAAAAGCTTGGATGCAGGGTTGATTGGAACCAAGGAACACTTCAAATCCATCATCCTGATCGTGGACTTCTACCAGTACAACCTCAAGAGGGGTGCCCTCAAATCCCAAGAGCTCTTGCTCTTGAACTCATAGATGAGCTGGAGACGAAAGCACTCCAGTCCAAGCCTGAAGAAAAGAAGTTTGAGAAGGAAAAGATTTGGATGCAAGCTCTGGTCGAAGCTCACCCTGTCCTTCGACAACTACCAGCGGAAATCAAGAAAAGCTTGGTGGTGGATGTTGGATCCTGGCGTGATCTCCCTGTCAACCGACGTCAACGACGAAGACTTCAACGGGATGGCTTCATTGCTCATCTCTATGCAGGGGAGTCTGAAGGGTTCACATTGACAAGAGCCTACCAGCAACAGGGTGGGAATCCAGCTGACATCCTCGAGGTGGACATCAAACGTGGGGAGAATCACAATCTCCTCATGGACTCTGGAGTTTACAGCGGTTTGCTGTGCGCTGTGATGAGCGATAAGGTCGAGGCCTTCATCGCTGGACCCAACTGCAGAACAAGGTCAGTTTTGAGGCACTACCCAAAAGAAAATGCTCCGCGACCAGTCAGGGCGTGGGGAGGTGAAGAATTTGGCCTCAAAGATCTCTCTGAACAAGAGCGCTTGCAGGTGTTGGAGGACGACATCTTGATGTGGAGGTTCATCTTTCTTTGGATGGTGGCCACATACATCAGAGAAGCCAAACAAGTCCAACGACCAATTGGATTCCTCTTGGAACAGCCTGCAACGCCCAAGGAGTACATGCCTCAATGTGTGTCGTTTTGGGACACCAACGAATGGAAGCTCTTGCGAGATGAGTTCAACTTTGAGGAGACCACGTTTTGTCAAGGACACCATGGAGGAGCGGCCTTGAAACCAACAACAATGGGCGGCAACATGCACCTCAACATCGACAGCCATCGAATGAGAAGGCCAACCTCTGTGGACATCAGGTCTTCTGCTCAGCTCTCAAGATGGGCTCCGGGCACAATGAACATGGTGGCCGAGTCCTTGATGCTGCAGGTGAAGTGCCAGCCTCTGAAGATGTGCCCTCTCAGCTGGGATGAGCACATAGCACATGGCCATACGCCATATCGGCGAGACTGCCTGGTTTGCCAACAAACCATGCAAC